AAGTTGAAGAAAAGGGGGGAGATGCTGCTCCTTCAATAAAGAGGAGTGTTTGTGATTAACTCTGAAACGGATAGCTTGGACACTAGACTGTGGATTTAACCAAGTGGGATGATCTTGTTTTCTTGCTATAGTATGCACAGACTGGATCTGCATGAATAACTGTCCTGCTTGTTCTTCTCCAGTCCTGCTGCATGTCCTCCCTCTTTGTGTGCTGTCATGAGTATATAACCCCCCCAATCCCACACACACACACACACACACACACACAGTGGTGGTTTTAAATAGGAAAGATCTGTTTGGCAGGGGGCTGGATGAGAGGGAAGCAGGGTGTGTTTCTTCTGCTTTCAGATCAAATGTACAATAGGTTTGAGGTGTAAAGCAAACAAACCCCCTTTTACTCCCTGAACTCTCTGACTCCCACACTCACAGGCACACGCACACTCACAGGCATGCATGCAAATCACATAAAGTGTTCCCAGGTTCCTCACCTTTTGCCTCCTTCCTGGTGTGATGCTTTAACCATCTAAGCCAATTCCCATGCTACAAGGAAAGAAAACAGGAGGGAGCATGTGTGTGGGTTGACCTTTAACCCTGGATCTGTGTCATCCCCCCATCGGATAACATCTGGCCTCGATGCTAGTTTTCTGTTTCGCTCACATACAGAACAGAAAGTTTCTTAAATCCCTCGGCCCTGGTTCCCATGAGCACATCACAAACATGGTTGCACGGACGATAACTGGAACTGATTGTACTTTGCATTTCCTAAAGTTCTAAGTTGTTGTGCAGTCACAGAAGCTAGCCTTGAGAAAAGCCTTCATAAGGATGACATAAAGTCCGCCTTGGATTAAAAAAGTTGTCTCTGGGCATGGCCTAAAGTCAAAGTGACTGTTACTTAAATGCTCTGAGTGACATCAATGCAGTTCTTTGTTCAACAGCTTGATAGACATTTTTAGATTAGTATAGTGTCACGCTGTAACAGTTCACTGCAGTATGACTGTTAATCTCTTAAATTATTTTCATATCAAAGTGTAGATAAAACAGATTTGTCTGTCATCTCGGCACCAACTTTAAAACAGTAAGGTTGCAACTAATCATTTTTTCTATTAATCAGCTAATATTTTACTCCATACAATTTCAGAACATACGGAAAAATGCCCTTAACAATTTTCTGAAGTCCAAGGTGACTCTTGAAATAGCTTGTCTTGTCTGACCAACAGCCCAAAACCCAAAGATATTTAGTTTACCACCACATAAAGTAGAGTAAAGCAGCAAATCCTCACAACTGAGGAGGGCAAAGTAGTGAATGCGTGGCTCTTCTGCTTGACTTCAGAAGATCATTTCATGTTGATTGACATATTGCTTAATCAAGTAATTATTAGCATCACTCAGCTTTCAGCTAAGACGAATGAGCAAACACTTATCCTGCCTGATGATAAAATGGAAACTTTGTTGATTACCGCTTTTAAACTCTGCAATCTTTTTGGGTTGGTTTAAAAAAGATCCCTCCTCTTCAATATGTGGACGAGGTGCAAACTAAACTTCCTGGGAACAAAAGCAGAAGATCGGATGTGGGTGTAGAGGGGTGTGTGTTTGTGTGTGAGAAAAGTTTAGTAAAACATAGTTAAAGAGAGAAAAGGGAGCCTTCATTTACGTCAGAGAAATGGAAAACAATGCTGGAGGCAGGAGACAGAGCAAGGTCAACTTGTTATGTATGCTGCAACTGCACAAGACGCCAGGCTGCCTGCCTGCCTGCCTGTCGGTCTGTTTCAAGGAGGAATGCCTGTCTTAGCTATTTGCAGAAGTGGTGGTATAACAAGTAGTACGCATTGTAGAGGTGGTACTAGTATAAGGGCTCCGCTGTAAGTGTATTTTATACTCTCTGTAACAGCTTTACATTTTAAACTGTAAAGAAATGTTTTGCCCAACCTTTGTCCTTTCTAGCTGTTGGCTTGATATCCTTTATTTGTTCTACAGCTTACATTATTTTTCCTTCCTGCAGCAGGAACTTGTTATGCTCTCAAGGACCCATATCATTGTCATCCATTGTTGGTTTGATCTCAATATTATTTGTGATGGGAAGAAATAAATGTGCCGAGTACAATTGCTTTACTTTACAGAAAAATAATGGAATGCACGTTCCAACTGATTTTACATATTTATTGCCCCAGCTGGTTTTTAGCCCTATTGTCCTGCAGGAAAATGACCAACAAAATACCGTCAGGAATAATAAAAAGAAGAGCTCACATAAACACAATTAAGATGGAGCAGAATACCCAAGGTTTGAGCAGAGCCTTGTTTATGGGACCTTGCGGTACCATATTTTCCTCGGTAGTGGGAGCTGTCTCCCTTTCAGAGGTCTGTTGGCTTCTGCTACTTTTGAATGAGAATGAATGCCATTGACCAGCAGTGAGCTCAGAAGAACTGCAGCTGCTGCTGAGCTCAATGATGATTGTGAATCTGTGAAGCACCAAAAACATAAAAAATCACAGTAAGTCTACTGAAACACTCTAATGCAATATGTAACTATTCCAACTGCTTTTCTCACTGTCATCGGGGGCATTACTTCATCATAGTTTGTGTTAAGAAATCTGTTGTTGCAGTCATCTTCATATACATTCAATGTTGCATACGCTGCAAGTGATAGCGTAGTGATTTACTGTGCATGTGTGGAACACGTCCTCCAAGCAGACGTATAATCTGAACTACTACACGTTAGTGGTGTACGCAGTTGTTCGTGCATGCGTCTGTTTGGGAGTATAACCGAGGCTTTAAAGAGCAGGTCACATCCAATAAATGGGATTAATCCTCCAGTCAGTGTCATCCACCTCTGATATGATGATAGTCCTTTCCACCCCTATATACTCTTGACGCTGTAAAAACTACGGACATGACAGATCAACAAAAATGTAAACTGACTTTTACTGCATTAAAGACCATGAGACCGTCTGACCTTGCTCAATCTTAGTAGCAGCCATGTACACTGTCAAAGTGTCCTTGAGCAGTGATGCTTCAGCATCCTACCTGCTCACTCAGAGATGCAGCTGAGTAAAAGTTTAAAAGACAATATGGAGTATAAGAACAGAGAGATAGTATATGGTCTTGTATTTCTACTTGGAGTCATCTAGAAGCACTCAACCAATCAAAATGAAAAAGAAAATCCTTCATGTATGTATTCATGAGGAGGGGAGAAATCATCTGCACCCTGCCTGGGGGGGGGGGGGGGGGGTATCTACGTAAGCTCCGTCACAAGTCTCCCATTCCCCTCTTTCCTGGCAGGCAGATCTATTTATAGCTTCTGACGTCACTGGTCTGCTCTGATGGGGCCTCGTCACGGCCGACTACACTGAGGCCAGGGGGATGGTGAGGGTGTAAATAGGGTTGGGTGAGGTGTAGTGGAGTGGTGGGGGTGTTATTATTGAGGTAAGCCCTGCTGCAGCCCTCCCCCTCCTCTCTGCCATGTCCCACCAATCAGGTGTGAGATGCTGAGCCACATCACTGTGCTGGATACAGCCTTCTTGATCACCCCCACCTCGTCCTCCTCTGTGTCTCTCTGCTTCTGTGAATTATGTCTTTCATTCAGCATCGATTGCATAATAGCCATCTTTCATTTATCAGGCACTGCTATTGCTGGAGCGCTGGAGGCAGGCTGAGCTAAAAATAGAAAGGGAACCAACCTTCCAGTGCTCTCTTGGTGCTCTGTTTTCTATTGTTATCACCAAGGAAGGAGGAGGGGATTATAACAGATACCAATTGATTTAACTCACACAAAATATATAAAAATACCTTAAAATTACCCCTCAAGTATCCACATAATGGTGCTTTAAAATCCAATCACTATACATTCTTTTTATATAATCTAACATTGTTGAAAACGTATTGTTTGTTGTAGAACTCAGGTCAGAGAAGAAGTGAATAGTTGTAACTAAGTGGTCGCTCATTGCACTCTTTAAAAAAAAGAGTTTCAGACTTCGAGTCTGTGTGTCCTTGAGCCAGGCACAGCACCACTGAGCAAATGTAGACCACGGTGAGGCTGAAACAATTTTAGGTAAAAGTTAGGTAAAATTTAGGTACAATTTAATTTTGATCATACCAATAAAATACAATTTTGAAAATGATACCTGTAGACGTTAAGCACTTTGTTCAGTGATAGGGGTGCCTTTCAATGTGGTGGATGCGATGGGGTGACGCACCACGCATGAAGTCAGCGTTGACGTCATACAGAGATAGCAGAGGGAAAGATGTGTGTGGGTGTGTGTCTGATTGCGAAAAGCGAATAATCACAAGGTCACCTGTTTATAAAGACTCACAGTCAGGGCAGACAATTTGAATCCAACCTTCTTATCCTTTTCAAACCAAGGTGTTTTGTGCTTGTTATTATGATGATTTTTCATATTGCCACATGAATATTTACACACATCCTGTTCTTGTGTTATTTTATAATTTCAATAATAATTGTGAATGTTTGGGATACTTTGTTGTAAGAAACACGCTGCCGTATTTGAAAAACATTTGATATTTGGACATGCATGTACTTCCAGCTCCGGTCTCTTTTATCATACGTAGCTTATCTCGGCCTCGTCTTATCCTCATCATGTGTTGTCGTCAGCAGCTACGGGAGCTGTTTTATATTTGGGTATCCATGGTTTGGATGCAATGCTGAGAGATAACCCTCATCTATGTTGCATTGCATGTTTTTAATCTTTTACTCTTTTGTGTTGTTTTGTTTTGTTTCTTTATTTCTTTATCAATTTGATACAGCTGCTTTTGTTATGTACTTCTCTTATGATATTGAGGTATGCAAATGTAGTTTAGAAGCATCAGCAGTAATAGTGGTAGTACTAGTAACAGTAGCAGTAGTAGTAGTACTAGTAGTAGTAGTAATAATAGTATCAGTCATGAAATTAAAGGTATATTGAAGTGAAATAGAATAGCAGTCTGGCAGGTGGAAACTACAGAAACGGTAACAGTAGTATTTATGTGTTTCTTCTGTCTCTCTGTAGTTTTGATGTGGAGAATGGCCTCTCGGTGGGACGCAGTCCACTGGACTCTCAGGCTAGCCCGGGTTCTGGGCTGGTACTTCAGGCCAACTTTCCCCACAGTCAACGGCGCGAGTCCTTTCTCTACCGCTCCGACTCAGACTTCGACCTTTCACCCAAAACCATGTCCCGCAACTCGTCTACTGCCAGCGACCTGTGAGTATTTAAAATATAATATCTGTATCATTTTAACACCAAATAAACCAACCAACCAACCAACCTTTATCCTCTACTTCATGTTGCATTTTACAGTGTGGGTTTGCTGATTTGGAGGAAAATCTATTTGCTTCACAGCGCAAAAGATTGATGTTTAAAGATATTATTTTTCATATTTTGTATCTGGGTCCAGAGGTACTGGCCCTGGATACCAACACATTACTTAATCTCTGTGTTTCCCAAGTCACTCAGTAGCAATGTTCCTCCACAGTGAAAATTTGAGGTTAATAATAGATAATTTAATAAATAATTGAATGACAAACTTTAAAAATGAAGCTCTAAATTGTGACTCTTTCCTTTGGGAAAGAAACTCATTTTCCATTTCATGCCCTCAATTTATATGTACAATACACAATATGTAGCATCAGGACACATGGATTGAATCACTTCTGTTATGAATTGTTAGGGAAACACTGTAATTGATTGTTAATATTTATTCATGTCCTATTTACACCCTAAAAAGTGCATTTGTGGCGTCTGGCTTTGAAGAGGCTTTTGGCAGCAGAGCTCATGTTTGTCAGCGTAAACAGCAGTCGTGTTTAGTTGGTACGTACAACTAAAGCCAAAACCATAATCTTAGCTCAGAAGTTTTTCATTCAGTTTCTGCCTGTTTATACAGCTAAAGATCTCTCTGTGCAGCTAGCAGTCTATTTGAAGCCAGAGTGTAAATGGGGCCTCGACCAATGTTTTGAAGGGAGGAGGGATTCAAGCATTGGGAAATCAATTGTCTCCCTCGGTGAGACGTAGTGTGAAGACTGCTGTGATTTGTCTGTCCACCTGTTTGGGCTTTGCCATGTTGTCATGAGCCAAACCTACTACCACTTACGCCTCCACCCCCCTTACACGTGACCTTTCCCTTACTACGACCTGAAGAACATATCGTGGATGCTCAACTCCAAAGTGATCACTCCCGCAAAGTATTTTTAACAGTCCCAGCAAGCATTTGACAGATGGTGATCTGGTATCACAAGCAAAAACATTTGGTGATTTGATAATACATCTTTTTGATATTTAATTTCACAAAACTATGAAAAACAATACGCACAGGCTGTCATATCTATAGTTATTCAATGTCAAAATGTTTGCTGGACAGATTCACTCTGACACTGGCAGCATGGATTTACCCTGAAGTCTGAATGGTTGTGAGGAACGTGTTGACATCTTAAAGCTTCCAGAAAATTTCTAGCTTTCCAAAAGTTTGCTTTCGCAGCACCCAATGCACAATACAGATCTATCTGTTTTGTACAAATGCATATCTTGGAGGCAAAACTTATGTAAGAACAGAAACCAATCTGCTTTAAGTGACTTTGAGCCTCATAGAAATTAAGGCCATACATTGGGTTATTAAGTTGTCAATGCTAACTTATTAGCAATTATTTTTCTACTTACACATCCAGTGAAAGGCGTCGTTGGCATCCCACTGGAGACAAGTGTCTAGTCTTCCAATGCCTTTTAGCTCCACCAACTCTTGACACAAATATTATAAATGCCACAGTAGAATTCTACCAATCACTTGGATTAAGTTGTCTCTTTCTTTCCATTTCTTGTTGGACAGGCAGCAGACACTCATCTTGTCTGAGCTTGTTTGCTGGAAACAACTGCTCGTTTCACATGGCAAGCTTGATGAGAACCAAAGGTCCAGACAACCAAAACAATGAGCTATGATTTGTCATTTCTGTCATTGGATTTTATCCTAAAAACGTCACTTAATTCAGGTTTATTGGGACTGGTTAAATGAATCCTCAATGTGTATGCAGTATTGATAAATGTTCCCTTCCCTTATATTATCTTATTTTAACTTATTTAAAGTAGTGGTTCTTTGGCTCTGAGGGTTAACTGTAAGCTGCATCTTTGCCTCTAAGAAATATTTGTTTAACTAAAATAATCTCCCCTCCTTATGTCCAGTGTGATACCTGAGACCAACCTAGGGTCGTAACCCACTGTACTCTTCACTCTTCCTTTACATTCCTCACATTAAGATGATGACAACAAACAGATGTATTTGTTGTCATTGTTTGTGTGTTTGTATTTTGTTTTTTTTTGTATCACATGGGTTCACACACTGCGTTTTCACTCTATATGTGTTTGTGTTTGTCTGTGGTTTTCACAGGTATGGAGAAGACATGATAGTGACTCCATTTGCACAGGTTAGTAGCCTTTTGTAATGCCGGTTTTGTATGACCAGAAATGTCCCTTATTCAAATTTGACAAGTCAAACAAAAATACACAATCCAAACCAACTGGCCCAGAGACAACCTGTACAGCAGGGGACCGGAAGTTGGGTTTAGCATGAGGGACAGTTTTACTGTAGAACACAGCACCCGAATGTAATTTATTTGTGTACTTCTTGCCAGTGAAGCTTTAGTTGGGTCTTGACTAGGAATTACCTCATTGTAGAACATGCTGCTGCAATATGCAGTTCTTCTGATGACATTGTATTCATCTGATTGATTCATTAGTCCAGCTGTTAATCGATGATACACTAGATGGATGGATGTTAGGCCATTACAAACTGTACTACTGTTTGTACTCTACTCCTGATATTAAGGGGGACATGTCTCGGGTGTGTCCATCCGTACACATTCATACAGCTCCAAAACTCACTCCTCTTTTTTCCTTCTTAGGTTCTTGCCAGTCTTCGAACAGTGAGGACTAACTTTGCTGTTCTGACACATCTGCAAGATCGTGTCACAAACAAGTAAGAACAAGAAAAGCTGACTGAATGTCCGACTGCTTGTTATGTTCTTATTCTGCTAACACTGCAACTGTTTACTTGTTCCAGGCGTCCGACAAGCAGCAACCAGCCATCCATGTGTAAGCCATGTCTTACAGGTCAGTGTTAATATCCTGTGTGTCGAGACACTGTAGATTTATCATGTAAAAACATTATTTTTTAGGAAGATACTTTGCTATATTACTTAACATAAAAGACATAGTGTGATTTTAATGGGTTTCATGCTGTTTATTTAAATAAATGAAAATTCAAACATGGTGTGGCTTCGTTTTTGAACCATTACAGGTGAAAAGCAACAAGCTAATCAGTTTTCTCAGTCATTTCTCAGGTTATTCATGAGAGCTACACCACAGCCCTGGATATCTTGACAAAATTCAACATGTGGATGTTTTCACAGCAGTCCCACAACTGACCTGTAACATTTGTATGTGTGACCTCTGACCTTTCAGAGGAGCCCTATCAGAAACTGGCGGTGGAGACACTAGAAGAGCTGGACTGGTGTCTGGACCAATTGGAGACGCTGCAGACGAGACACTCAGTCGGCGAGATGGCATCTAATAAGGTCAGAGGACATTTGCCTCATCTTCATCGAGGCTATTTCAGAATGGGTCAGTTAAGAGGTGTATGTAAGCAAAGCTTTTTATATAAAAAAAGAGTTTCCAATTTATTACAATTCAATTCTGAGGTTCCCTTTGTCATGACAGCAATGACTGATTTTAATTTTAGCGTTCAGATATGAATCAAAAGCAGGTCACAACACAACCAGAAAGACTCGGGTTCATGAATGGCTTCTTCCTCCATCTAAAGAGTTCATCATCTCCTCGCTTCCCACCGTCACGCTTCTCTCTACCGTCTGGCTGCTACATTCAGTCCTCCTCCATCTCCCAGTCAGCCAATCAGATCCCCCCCTTCACCCAGCCCCTGAAGCCAGATGGATCTGATTGGACAGAGAATGGAGAGCAGCATGCAGGGCGGGGGAGGGGGGTTCCTCACAGCCTCTCCCGCTTCATGTTTCTAACTGACAGTAGTTGGATGTGCAACTGCTGTCCACACCCTTTCTCCCCGATGCTAGACCACATCCCCAACCTCCCCCACCTTATCCCACCCCACCCTTCTTTTCCGACACCCCCTGCACCTCTAGGACAGGACATGTGACTGTGGGAACTTTTATTTCCAAACAGTCTTCTCTTCTTGTCCAAAACCCTTCCTGCTGAGCGTGGACCAGAATTTAGTGAGCAGCTCGTCACTAAGCAAGCAAACTTGTTTGCTGGTCGTTTTTGGATTTTTAGGGACCTCTAACATCAACATACGTGGGTTGACATGCCTGCATCGGCTCTCTGCGTTTGTCTGTGCTGGAGACTCAGACAGGTGAGTGACGGGAGCGCTGCTGGCTTGCCTTGTTTACATTGGGATCTATCGGCAGTGCAGGCTTTGCAGGGGGGCGGAATGCTGAGTAAGCGTGCCCGTCAGATCTGACTCAGGACCCGATCTGCAAACGGACTGAATGTTGAGATTGTGTGTGTGTGTGTGTGTGTGTGTGTGTGTGTGTGTGTGTGTGTGTGTGTGTGTCTATGCATGTAGGTGTGTGAGCGTGTATGGGAAAAAAGGCAGAAAACATCTATGTTAGAGGGAGTAGCTGACATGAATTTGTAATGTAAAATAATTCAGAGTGGTGTTTGGTTTACAGCAGCAGGAATATGCTGCATGTTATTTGTATATATAGCATTAGAGATTGTGTGTGCATGTGAGAAATGGTGTGCAGAAAACCTGAGGAAAAGCATGATAGAGGGAACAGGTGTGTTGAGAAGCTACAGGAGAAGTAAACAAGATGATAAACAGGCACATTTTGGTTAAAGCTTCAGGATTATGATCCATGTCAGTATGTATGTTTTTGTTTGTGCCCATATGTGTGTCACATAGTGGCCACTGCAGCACTCTCTCACCTAGATCCTCCCTCCCTCAGTCACCACGTGCCAAAGCTGTTACATAATCAGTGTGGAAGCTACCGCTGCGATAAAACTCAGGGGGAACACTGAACACTTTTGTGTTTAAAAAACTTTCACCAATGATTTTTACAACCACAGTGCAGATTTCTAATAGAGGAATTAGAGCTATTACAGCTTGTCTTCTTTTATTAATAAAAGGGTAAATGTGCCCTGTAGGCTATATAGACATAGAAATAAATGTGCTAAAATTGCACAGTTCTGTTAGCATCAGTCTACTTGTGCTGCAATGCTGGAGTTCCCCTACATGTTGGTGTTTAACTTTCTAACCACAGCAAAGATGATGGAGCATACATTTAATCAGCCAACCAAATAACATTAATGTACTGTAAATACATTACTTACTAATTATGTTTTAATTTAAGTTAATTTACATGGAGCCTAAAAACATTTATATGCATTTTTAACAGTGTACAGCAAAACATTTTTCCCCATGGTTTCAACCTCCATGGTTTCAATGTCCGTACTTATATTAATTATGGTGTAAGTTTGTTAAATCACAATACCTCATATGTTTAGTTTTATAACTGTATCACAATTTAGTTTACTTCCTATAGTGATGTTTAAACAAGCTACACATACACCTTGTCTTTGTGAGTATTTAACACGTTTATCTGCAGTCTTACCTGGACTCAACATTCTTTGTTGTGTCTACACAGTTTAAGAGGATGCTGAACCGTGAGCTGACGCAGCTATCAGAGACAAGCCGCTCAGGGAATCAGGTGTCAGAGTTCATCGCCCACACCTTCCTAGGTGAGTTTTATTGCCAGATGTAAATGAATAAAAGCACACCGACTGCACAGAAGTCTACATTGACAAAAGTTGTGATTTTTAGAGTGATGTTGATTCAACTGGTCATTTTGGAGGCTGTAGTTTGTGGTGCTGTTGAATTGTATTGCCTCATACTGTGATGCCCACATTTAGTCAACTCTCATTGGTACCTCAAAATATCTTAAAATATAATAAATGACATTTGGTACTATCCCAAACATGTCTGTGGTGCTGCCCAGCTCTGCTACAAAGGAGAAGGGCATTTGCATGATTGCGTCGCCTGTTTTTTTTTTTTTTTTTCACACTTTATTTTTTCGGCTTTTCGCCAGACAGACAGACAGACAACACATACACAAAAACATAAATAAAAAAATTAAATAAAAAAAGGGATCTGGATTGCTCTGTCTCTTCAAAAACATGATAACTCCTGTGAAGTATTCAGGTTGTGTTATCGTTGACATGTAAACATCGTCCATTTCTCCCACTTCTCACGACATCGCTCCACTTGAGCTCTTATTCTATGAGTTAATAGTTCCATATCATACATTTCAGTCACAATTTTCAGCCATCCATCTTGTGATAGTGGTTCTGCCTTGTGCCATCTCTTCGTAATAGCCTTCTTGCAAGCTGCTAGCAAGATCTTCAGTAAATACCTGTCTTCTCTTAACACAGTGTCTGTTGTCAGATTACCTAAGTAGTGACTTTGGTATATCATAGCCCAGAATTTGGATTATAACCATATGGATATTTCCCCAAAACTGTACAATTTCCGGACATAGCCAAAATACATGGGAGTGGTTTACATTTACTGCCCCACATTTCCTCCAACATGGCTGGACAATAGACAGACATTTATTTGTAATTTGGGGAGTAATAAAGAATCTGATTACATTCTTCCAACAATGTTCTCTCCAAATACGCGAGGATGTTGAAGACTGTTGTGTCCTCCAGATATTCAACCAATCATCCTCTGTAATATTCACACCAAGTTCTTGTTCCCATTTCAACGTCGCCTGGTTTTATTGACTGCTGTCAATGGTGGTGGGAGAAAATGAGATCTTTAAAGGATTTGGAATAGTTTACTCGTGTTTCATTTCTGCAAAGAAGAAATATGTTTTAAAAGGGGAAGGGAAGAGAGGCGCAGAAAAGGAAAGAAGGGCTTTTAAATGTAAAAGGAGAGAAGACATTTTCAAGTGAAGACACAATGAGGAGAGAAGGATTTAAATAAGGATTACATGGAGGAGGAAATTGAAAGGAAGCAATGAAAAAAGAGACGTGGATATTAAAGAAATGAGAGATTTTTTGAAAAAGAGAAAGGGAAGAGATTGCTTTTGATGGAAAGGAAGTGAAACAGGAGGATTTATAAAGAAACAGGGAGATGAGAATTTCAGCATTTTCAGGGCTAAAGAGAGGAGGATGGTTTTTAAAACTAAAAAATATGAAGAGAGCATGTTTCTAAAGGAGAGGAAGGATGAGATGTTTTTTAATAGGGAGGAATAGAGAAGGTGAGTATTTTTCCTTCCCGAAAAGAGAAGGAAGCGCGGCGACAGACAGCATTCCCGGACACATTGTGTGGCGTTGTCGTAGCAACAGGGTGCAATATTATTAGACGGCGTGCTGCATCAATAGGAGGCTCAGTCTTCTGCAGCCCTGCCGGCAGGATGGAGGTCCGGCCGAATGAGGATGGAGCTGTCGTTCGGTTGCCGTTTTGACATGAGTGCCTCGGCGTCAAGCCCGACTGCGTTTGGAAATGAACCCCGTGGTTTTGAGTGTGAGGAAGAGGAGGCACTGTGAGAGAGGTGAGAGAGGCCAGACAGCGCCTTGTGTGACGCTGCCACTCAGGTCTCTCTGCATCCTTGTGATGGCGTGTGCTTGTATCTGGGCTCAGATCTGGATATCATTGCTGCCTTGCTAATTAAAAAAAACGTGGATGTGAAATACTAAGGATGATATGTGGACGTGAGGTAAAGCAGGCTGTCTGTGATGTCACAATGGGATCATTTCCTTGGTTTGTACGAATACGGATGAGTCATTTTCAACATTATCGTGTATGCTGGGACAGCACCTTTGTGTCAACAAGTCATACAGAGATTATGTTGATACTGTTGGTGGAAACCTTGCTTTGATCATTTCCACGCTTTTGCTTAAAGGATTACGAGCTCCGCTGTGGGTAAGAAAATAAATCTCCAACCTGTAGACGTGACGAAGCCTTTTCAAACCCACATTTGGAAATACACAAGAAGCGCTTTGTCATCAAGCTCAAGACAATGCTGAGCTCCTGAGAAGCCGACAGGTTTTACCCATCATCCTTAGCTGTTCTACTACTGGTGCTCCGATAATATATGTACAGCAGGTGTACTTCATTATAGCTGCACACATTCCTAACTGTTGGTGACCTTCGAACCGTGGTCCATATACAGTATATACTGTATACACAAAAAACATATTGCTTGAATTTAAATCTATTTATAATTCTATTTCTAAGTTGTAATTACATTTTACATACTTCATGTCACCGTAAATCTATAATTTATTGATTGATGCGATGCAAAGTCTCGTCATTCACAAGTTCATTAATACAGACTCTGACTTACCCAAAGAAGGCACATTGTTGTGACTCATTTATCTACATGTGTATATTCAGGGGAAGATATGTATGTGACGCCATCTTCACTTTTGAACAGATCTCCTTTAAGCTTGACCGTCTTACCGCAGCTGAAAGGATGTTCAAATAGACCAGTTTCAGATCAGCTGTGATCAGTTGGTGTCTGTTTCTTTGCTTGTGATTTTCTTCATACTGGCCTACTTATTGTGTCAGTGATTTGTAGAAGACATGTTTCATGTCATCACACACTTTGTGTGACACATGTACAGTAAGGCACACATTTTTACAAGCTGTACCATGCTAGTATCGGTTATAGTGACAGCAGGTGCAGTATCAGTAGTGATATTTTTTAGGGATACTTGCACCAGCAGAAGTAATTGTGCATGATTGATTAGATGCTGACAGTATAATAATAGTAGTCGTATCAGCAGTATTGATAAACATATAAGTAGTTGATAGTAGCAGAGTTGTAGTAGTAGTATAGCTACAGTAATAGAGGTAGCAGCCATAGTTGGTCGAAGCACTAATTGTACTGGTAATGGAAGGATTAGACACGTTGAATAATAACAATTACTACAGCAGAAGACACCCACTTATGGGTCAAGACAGGTCCCCTTCAAAGAGAGTTATAGTCAGAGCTCAGGCAAAGATATGGTCTTCACTGACGAGATCTTTGTCCACTGCAGCTGGTTTGGTGAGGCAGTCATGTTAAGTCTGAGTATTTGAAATTCCTTGAAGACAGACATATGTATTCAACAGTATGCTATGTGTGTTTGTACACGTTGCAGAGAAACAACATGACGTGGAGATCCTGTCTCCAACTTCTAAGGAGAAGGAGAAGAAGAAGAGGCCAATGTCACAGATCATTGGTGTGAAAAAGGTCACACAGGGTCCCAGCTTAGCACCCGCCTGCATCCCCCGCTTTGGAGTCAGCACTCCACACGAGAGCCTGCTGTCCAAGGTGGGCACTCACTCTCACATAACACACACACACACACACACACAGAAACACAATGTGTCTTATAGATGTCCTGTTTTCCTTCTCCAGGAGGTCGAGGACATTGATCGTTGGGGTCTGGATATATTCAAGATAGCAGAATTTTCCGGAAACCGCCCTCTGACGGTGGTCATGTACTCCATCTTCCAGGTAGGAGGACCCCTCAGCGCAAAGTCTGCTGAAAAAGTTAAAAAGTTATAAATTCAGTCTCTTCACATGATATAGGCACATATAGGTATAAATGCAGTGAAGAAGTTACTGCCACTTTAAAGTTTGTCTGCTTCTACAGTGTATTTTACGCTGTGACCCACCAAGCTGGATTAAGGAAGAATATGTTGGTTGCAGGCAAACTTTAGGCAACGTCCCCAGCCATTTGAATCAACACCACAGAAGAGAAAAACTGATTTGTAGAAGATGTGACTCTGATTCTCTCCTCTCCCTTCCAGGAGCGAGACCTTCTGAAAACCTTTAAGATCCCAAATGACACCTTTATCACCTTATTGATGACCTTGGAGGACCACTACCATGCAGACGTAGCTTATCACAACAACATTCATGCAGCTGATGTGGTGCAGTCCATCCACGTCCTCCTGTCAACCCCTGCTTTGGAGGTGAGCTCAGGAAGCTGTTGTTACTGTAGTTCATGGTCACAATATAATATCAGTGTATGGTTTTGAATGAATGTGTTTTCTCTTCTTCATCCCAGGCCGTGTTCACAGACCTGGAGGTCATGGCTGTTCTGTTTGCTAGTGCCATCCATGATGTTGACCACCCAGGAGTCACCAACCAGTTCCTGATAAACACTAGTAGGTTTCTCTTTGTCTCTGCACACAACTACCACAAAATGCTTCAGAACAAACACATTTGATACACCTGAGAAAACACAGTTTGGTTTGCTGTGTGCCTCAGTAATCAGGTGATATCTGGACTCTTTTAACTGAACCTGCATATTGCCGGCATGCCACAGGGTCCTATTTAGACAGGACTTCCATTAGCACTGATTCAAATGAACTTTAATTATGTTCGAGGTGTCCTGTTATACGGATTTAACAATTTCAACCAACCACAGGTTCAGAGCTGGCGCTGATGTACAACGATGCCTCGGTGCTGGAGAATCACCACCTCGCTGTGGGCTTCAAACTGCTGCAAGAAGAAAACTGTGACATCTTCCAAAACCTCAGCAAGAAACAGAGAGACTCTCTCCGAAAGATGGTGATTGACATGGTGAGACTGCTGCATTCTTTACACGATTCATTGATATCCTTTTCAGTCGTGATGTACCTGAACTGCTGCTTTACAGTGTAGGCTTTCATTATGTTATGTTCATGGTTCAGTAAAGTTTGTGTACGGTAAAATTCTGCCGATACCTCAGCTTTGTTTATTTGGTCACTACTTTGAAAAGGCTGGTGGGCAAAATATAATGTAGTTGATGTATGATAAAACAGACAGTGAGAGTTGATGGTCAGTTACAGCTGGCTTTTTTCATCTTCAGCTGTAGGGAACAAACAAATGGGGAAAGACAAAGAGTTTTGAGAAAGAGGCAACACACAAAAACAATTTGATCTCCTATGATAAGTAACCTATTTGTTAATTTTTTCTCTTGTAGCTTATGTGTGTTTTAAATTCACATGTCCTTAATCATTCACCAATAACTGTCAAACGCCTACAGAACCAGTTGTCTTTAGAAATATAGGACACAAGAAGGCCACATTACACAGACGACATGAGAGACTGACGATGTGTTGAACCTCTTCATAAGGTGCTTGCCACAGATATGTCCAAACACATGAACTTCTTGGCGGACATGAAGACAATGGTGGAGACCAAGAAAGTCACAAGTCTAGGAGTCCTGCTGCTCGACAACTACTCTGACCGCATCCAGGTGAGAACGCCCGCTGCTGACACTGACTATCAGAATATACATACTGAGTAGCATGTGGTACTCATAAGTACATGATACATGCAGACAAAAGATACATATATAGCTTTCTATAGTGACACAGTAATTACACATTTGTACCACCTGCTAACTAGTATACAATCACGATGTAAGAAACTGATCATCATTATGACATATTTCACATACAATCTTTTGCATTTCAGTCTCAATAAAAGACTAATTTTATCAACACCAGGGAATTGAGTCAGGGTTTAGAAATGGATCATTAATCTGTGGCTATAGTCACAAACTTTTTTTTTTTGCTAAAATACTCAAAACGAGCAGTAAATAATAAGCAGATACATCTCAGACATTAGCAGCAGCACATTTCCACAAAAGCCTTCACACACACAACAAACACACTGATCTGCTGTTTGTATGTTCAACCGGGGAGTTGGTGTGAAAGTGCTGCTGCCTGCTGGACACACAGTAGTCATTGCATCTGTATAGCGCTGAACCAATCTATACTGGGTATTGTTGAGGTGTTGTCAGAATCAGGACAGGGTTAAAATATATATTTATAAAATAAAAGGAATGCTAGTTACATTTCTCAAGTTGCCATTGCTGCTTTTTCTGAGCATTTGTTGGTGAGGTTTTTGAAAACAGGGCACATTACCAGCAAAGTCTGAATGAGCGTCTATTCTCCAGGTTCTACAGAACATGGTCCACTGTGCCGACCTGAGCAACCCAACCAAACCGCTGGAGCTTTACCGCCAGTGGACGGACCGCATCATGGAGGAGTTCTTCACCCAGGGAGACCGAGAGCGGGACAAAGACATGGAGATCAGTCCCATGTGTGACAAACACAACGCCTCCATAGAGAAGAACCAGGTAACGCCCACTGACGCACAGGGATGTAGGATAATAGTGGAAATGTAATAAACTTCAAAGAGTTTAGATGATTTTACAACCTCCAGGTTAACAACAGAGAACATGGAGGCAGAAAAGGCATTTTAGTAATCCAAGGATTAAAAGTAAACTGTGTCCATCTTAGTTTTTAATGAATTTAAAGTTATCTTTTGCACTGTCACACTTATTGCATGTTATCAGTATTGGTTGCTAGTATCAAGCATTAAATTATAGAACACACATAGCTCATATACTGCAGATTGTTATTTTGTAAGAGAAGTTTCATATATTTGAATTCAATTAATTTTAAGTTAAGAAAGCAAACACACATGAATTCAAATTTACAGGGCCTTCAAATCTGATTCCAAACACGTGTGTCTCAAGGAATTCAGCATTGGTTTTAAAACTTTCCTTAGCAGCACATGCTGGGTAATTTCACTCTTTGTATAACCTGCTGCCTGTTGTTTCGGTTTCTTGGTGTTGTACATATGCATATTAGCACCTCTGAAGATGTTTAACACACAATCTTTAACCTGCCACTACAGAGATTGTGGTATAGAGGCCACACAACCAAGGCAACTAGATTCAAGTAATAAAGTAATATGTAGATCTGTATCCATCTGTCCATTCATATTCATCCAAAATGTCCTCTGGAAACTCCTAACAGCATCTTAGCAGCCTTCGTCTTCACAAGACAAGCTTCATGCACCAGTTTGTCTTCTTATTTTGTTTGACATATTTTACTTCTTTCATATGTGTGTGTTTATTGTTAGAACTATTAATATTATTTCTATGACTAGGTGGGCTTTATCGACTACGTTGTCCACCCTCTGTGGGAGACATGGGCAGACTTGGTGCACCCTGACGCCCAGGACATCCTGGACACACTGGAGGACAACAGGGAGTGGTATCAGAGCATGATCCCCCGCAGCCCGTCGCCCACCAGCCCCGAGGAGCACCATGTGGAGGTGATGCCAGGAGGAGGAGCTGTGGGATCAGGAGGGCCTGTCCCTTCAGGAGGAGGGGACAAGTTCCAGTTTGAACTCACTCTGGAGGAAGAAGAGGGTGAAGAGGAGGTGGAGTCTGACCTGGAGAGCCCCTTAGAGGGGGAGTCCCAGTCGGGTGGGGAGCAGCACTGGGACTCTTCCTCTCCGTCTTTGTCCCCAGACCCTCGCAGCAACAGCAGGTACCGCCCCCCTTCGCCTCACCCGTCTCGGACCCTGAATCGGGCTGCCTTATCGGTGCGGAGCCCCCACAGGACGCTGGCCTCCCCAGGTCGGGATGGCGCCGACAGAGACAGAGAACTGAGCCAGGAGGGCGACGGGGTGGCGTGCCTACGTATGGGGACGTAACAACCAGCACAACCTGCCCCGCCTGACAGACACGAGTGCTGAATAATTGACAGACGGAGGCAGGGCAGGCCTTTACTGTAAAATCACTACAGTCCCTTTACACTGGAGACACCCGCTCTGGAGAACAGAGGGACGTTTCCCCTCTGTTTTATTTTATATTTTAACAAGAAGAATCCTTTCAGCCTCTCTTTGGGTGCCTGATTGAACTTTGTGTCGCATCCTGCTTTGTTGTAGCTTGAGTTTAGAGTGTCCCTGACAAGGACTGCTGCAATTTAACTGGGAAGACGAGTGGAGCCAAGCCGAGATACTCTAACAAGAACGAAAGGTAAAGGAAATGTCTTCCTCCAAAATAACTGTTTATGACATTCAGATAATGAGAATGAGGATCGCTGTGGTCTGACAGGGTCTTGAAATTATTTTGCACCGTAGTTTTGATTTAGGACACGAAATTACTGAGTCCGGCTGGAATAAGTGAGTATGATTTCTTTATTTGAGAATAATGTGACAGATGAATAATTTTACCAAATACAGGATGCAGTTGAGAGACAATTGATGGACCTAAACCTCAGGGTATGAAGATTACATGAATCTAATGTAGCACGGATGTAGTGGGTAACCCTCACCTGACCTTTCACCCCAAACTGTCTTTCCTGTTTGATTTACCTCCAAAGCAGAGACAACTGAGACTTTGTTAAACCTGCGTGTCTTTTCACTTAATTAAGCCCTTTAATAGAACATTTGGCAACTTAAGCAATTAAATATGATGTATTTAAACCAGCTTGTAGCACCACAGCGATTAAACACTGAAGCAGACTGGGCCCCAGTCTCACATGTTGAAAGTACAAAAGACACCACCTGTATAATTAGTTTAGGCTTCTTTTTTTCTTTTTTACCTGAGATGATTTCAAATGGTGTCACTGTTTTGGGGTTTTGAACAGTTCTATGTTGTACGTTTGCTGGTCTTGTCTGTGTTTATGTGCTTAAAAAGCGTTGTTTATCAGGGTGCCTCCGGTCCGCAGTAGCACTTTACCGTCTCTGCCCTTCAGCTCTTCTATTCAGTCAGACAAAGGGCTTCGTCCACTGTCGGCCTACTGATCATACAGAACCCGTACAGGACGTCTGACTCGAGGTACCAGAAGGCAGAGCAGGAAAGTCACCGGTAATATTTTACTGCAAAGTTCTCTGAAATGATCCCTGTTCCTCCTGATACAAAGTGCCCCATCCAGCCAGGATTTAAGCCTTTCTGAATCTCTGAACCTCTACATTAATATGATGTGGGCAAAACATGTGAGAACACACTATTCATTTAAGGATATCTCTGGTGTTATTCTATATTTTTCTTGTTAAAAACAAATTCCGTGAAAAGCTTTTAGTGCATCACTCAATACTTTCCGACTTTTAAATCTTTTAAAACTTGTCACAAATATATTCATTATTATTTATTTTAATTTTAAAAAGGGAATTGTAGTTTTTAATCAAACGTGCCTCTTAACAGGAGTTATCGACTACTTCAGCTGTGGATTAATACACATTTGTTAAGTTATGTATTTACAGCAGCAGGAAAGTATAGGCGGGATTGATCTAAATCAAACTACAGTGGACGTATTCATAACGAAAGAATGTCTCAGTGCAACAGTGGCTTTTTAATATTTATTGTACAATGGCGGTGTATGACAGAGGAATTAGCTGCTTCACAGAAATACTTTGATCAGTTCACTGTGGGTTTTCATGTCTTTTCATGGGCTTTGTTTAACAGTAAGAAAAATATGGAATATCACCAGTTATCCTTTCATTGGGACATGACGTTATATCCTCATGTTGACAAGAAAAGCTCTTCCTCGCTCAAACCTCAAATGAATCCGAGCCCGATTGTTCCTTTTCTACAACTACTAGAACAGTTTTAATCAACATATTACACAAAACTTTAACTTCAGCCACAAGTGAAAGACCCGTTTGTTATTTGAAATGATCTTATAATTCCAAGTAAGTCACCATGGTGTTTCTTTCCTGCCCTGCCGATAGGATCTGTTGTAGAGATCAGAAGTTGCTGAATCAGATCAAACTAACCAGATTGTATTCCATCAGGTTTTATCTGACAGTGCTCGACTGGGATTACTGTGTACCACAAGTGTTGAAAACACACAAACACCTGCCAGCCTACGATGCTGTACATTTTTACACGAGATTTTAACCTGATGATTGTATCAAAGTCAATGACTTGATAGCGTTAGTTTTTACAAATGATGTGTTTCCAGTGTTTAAAGCAGACAGTTTATTAGTTTTTGTGCAGCTCACATTTGTTCAGCCCTTTCCTAATCAGACAGCTGATAATTGAGAATGTGTGTAGCTTCAGGAGTCCACGTTCAGTCTAGAGCAGTGTTTGTCGCCGTCACTGAGGTAGAAAGACCAGGAAGTAAACAAGCACTACACAAAGATATGACGCACTTCCTGGTCAGGCAATCGTAGAAAATACCAGTCTCAGTATTTCATTAACTCAGCTAGTAAGCTTTACTGATCAGCCTTACATGTGATAGAAGTGGTTGGAGCTTAATGTAAGAGGACCATTATGCTGTTTTTAACATGCCAAGCCTCACGGCATCGCTTGATCTCAAAAGCAAGAAAACTGCTCATTTCTAGGCTTTAAAAAAAAACATGAATCTCAAAGATTGAGAATATATAAACATACATTTCTCATGACGGCAGCAATATTCTGCGTCTGTCCATATACACATTCTTAGTGTGTTTCCCTTTAAAACAAGCTACATGTAAGAAATGAATGTCAAGTTTCTGTGTTTTCCTGATTACTCACTTTATTTAGCGTACAGTGTTAAAATCCCTCAAAACTCCACAATGAAAATACCATGTAAACCTCAGCAGAAATTAGTGTGGATCAAATGTTCTGGTTATTCAGACTTCGCATACAGCGCCATCATAGGTCAAAGTTTATACTTGCACACAAGAAATGTCAAAATCTAGTGGGCAGATTGCCATGAGAACGGATGACAGCTTTATATTTTCTGATGCTCGGCGGCCTTTTTCTTTAGCATCATCCCGACAAACCTGTTTTACATTAAATACATGTGTAATCATGAAGATTGCATCCTAGCTTGGATTTAAACTATTGGTATCTTTCTGAAAAGTATTTTTTTAGTACTCCGACATTGTAATTTTAAAGAGTTGAGGTTGGACTTTTACAAAAAGTTGCTCTGTAGTTCTGTAATCATCCATTAAACTTCCTTTCCAAGCTTTAGATCTCATTATCGAAGGTCTCTAAATATTTAAGTGTGCAATATAAACTTTTAGTCCACAAATAGTTAAAACTTTGACTGCAATGGATAAAGAAGCTCAGACAGACTTTGGCACTGGTTAATATTTTTTTAAATGTCAATTATTTCTCCTCTTATACAACTTCTGATTCTAAATATTTATTTTTAGGAAATAAGATACATTTATATTTAAATACCATTTTGTCTGTTAGCACTCCTGTAGCACAGGAAGTGTCTAACATGTCTTGTTAGCCCAGGCCATACTTTCATTGTAAAATTCTTCCATTTTGAAGCAAGAAAACGTGTCCCATTTTTTGGACGAACCATCATCATGGCATCTTCATCATGTGAATTTGAAACAATTGATTTCAGTCAGCTGAATGTAGTTTGTAGCTCGGTGATGAAAGGAGTTGCGGCATGTTAAAAACACAGCAGTGTGGGTCTTTACAGGAAGACATTCGTGCCAGACAGTGTTAAATGTAGTGACGAGCAGGAGAGTCCCTGCTCTCCCTCTGTTGGTGTGTCACACCGATACTGCCACCATTAATGTTCATGCCATCTGTTTTCTCAGCCTGTGTCGTGCAAAGTTCTATAAAGATATTTATTCTTCAAATGTGTCGGTCAAGACAAAGTACTGTAACATAGGATATTTGATTTTATGTTCTTGAGCCTAAAAATCAAGTATACTTTAAAAGTATACATATGCCACTCCAATGTTTTTGTCAAAGAAAATAACTTTTATTTTCTCATTCTAAGCCAAAAGACTTTTGAGAGTTCAGGGTGATTTAAGTGGAAAATGACAATAAATAATATGGAAATTTGTTCAGACTGGTTGTTTTTATTCCATTCGATCGACTCTATAGAAACAAAAAAGGTTCTTCAAATGGAAATAATGTCATTCAAAAACTACAGTAAGACGAGACTGATTTATTCCACTTTTAAATCTGATCCCAAGAGGCACATAAACAAGACATGTGTATGTGTTATTTGGTACATTATGTATGTTGTGAGTTTCTGTTTTCACACATGTTAAAGTTTTTGTTGTGTTCAGCAGAAGCTTCTGTTCAGTCTGACCGGCGCTCCAGAACAGACTGGAGGCTTCACTCCCTGAAGACACATCACAGTTTCAGTCCCGTTACAGTACACACAACTGACATTAACAGGGTAATAATAATAATAATAATAATAATAATAATTCACTTATACTGATCAAATCTGATATTTAGTGATGAAGCAGTCAGGTTGAGCAGTAATGGACACATATATAGGCTCAATTTATTATCTTATTTTTAATAAATAATTTCCTCTCACTTTCAGGCTTCATTTTTAACTTTTACCTTGGGAGAAGATTTACCAAAGTTCTTCACATGTATTTTCCAGCACCAATATCGCAGAACTCCCAAATTAGAGTCACAGTAGTAAGGAAAAACAGTCCTCACCTTGTAGAGCTGGCAAACAAAGTGGAAAAGAGACGACATCGCCTTGTCCTCATTCTCCTCTGTGTATTCCTGAAACAAACGGTTTATGATCCTTCAGATATGTCAAGTCCTCATTAATTGTGAATAGTTGTTCAAAGCTTCAGTTCTTGATGACATACACAAGCAGTGTACAGTTTAATCCCAAACTACATTTCCATGAATATGAGACTAGATAATCGTTTGACCTAAATATCATGGACATTTAGTTTTAGATATTTTGACGAGACTTCCTTCTTATTCAACCTGCACTTTTTCATCTCCAACTCACTGACATGAGATTATAATTGGGTTCAATATTCATACAATCAAAACTTCTATCTGCGGTTTACAGCGCTATGCAAACTTTTTTGGGTCCCATCACTTTTGCACAATACGTGCTATAAAATGGAACATTAGAATTTATTTTACAATATTGATCTCTACAATGTTTTCCCATTACAATAAAACAGTTCTACTCTGATGAGTCAGTAGAATTTGAACAACATGTAAACCTACTCGGACTTCATATTCAGGTTGTAACTACAATGTTTTGAACATTATAAACTAGTTCAAAAGTGTAATTTAGTCAAGAAAAGCAGAAGTGAGAACTTTTAATTACGGTCGGTCTTTGTAAAACTTTGGTATGTCGATCAATCGTAGTAAGTCCAGAGTGTTTTACCCCATTGAAGATGACCCAGGGCACGTGCGTGTGTGCCGGGTGCAGCGCTCTGGTCATGACAGCGTTGGTGTGCATCAGCTGGCGTCCCAGACCTCCCTTCAAACAGGAGTCAACACTCGACCAGGAGACGGAGGGAGCATACAGCTGGAGACACTGGGACAGAGCATCAACAACACGCATCCGTTAGATTAAAGAAACGGTCTTTTACACCTTTTATGTACACTGTCCCTAACCAAATAAACCAATAAATAAAATGTCAGTACTGCCTGAAATCCCTAAAAAGTTTTGACTGGAAATCCAGGAGTGAAGCAGAGGAGCTAAATGGAAAGTTTTTGTTGCAAAAAAAAAAAAAAAAAAAGACAGCAAAGTTTGACTTCAAGACAAATTTGTGTTCACAACTTATCTTTAAAACTAGAATTGTAGATGTATTGCCAATTTAGATTTTGCAGAGCTGATCTCTGATTAAAGAAAACATTTTAATAAAATGGGATGTTTTTTTAAAACTTGTCTGAACATCTAACTCTCTTGTGCAAATAAAAGAAAGGCTTCAGTTTATTTTGTAGGTACTCACAGGCGGGGCAGCGTCGAGAACATCTGCTGCTGACTCCATGCAGTAGATGATCTGAAATGCTGAGTGTCCCGTTAAATGGATGATACAGGCCTGAGGAACAGATGGATCAATCCAATGTCATCATGTTGCGTTTTATTAATCAAAAATGCGACAGAGCTACCGTGTAGGTGAGGAATGATTCAAACCTCAATCATGTTTCCTCTGCATTCAGGCTCTCCATGCTGGCAGGTGAAGGGAGAATATGGTGATGGGATTTCCTACAAGAAACGTGTCAACTTTTAGTAGACATGTGATGATATTCATTTATCTATCAACAGAGGATGTGGATCAGTGTACCTTAGCATTCCCGTAGGGGACCAAAGTGACAGTCATGATGTCCTGCAGCATCGTCCAGGTGGGGAAGAGTTGCTGGGTGATGAAGGCTCTGCAGGCCGGACACAAACTCTCATAGTACAGAATGACAGATACTGGAGGAACAGCCTGGTTTGGTCTGGTAGCATTCACCTCCATACACTGTTTCTGAACCTACATGAGAAAAAAACAAAAAAACATTGACATGTGTCAAATTAAATGTGTTAAATTAAGTTTGTAAAAGAGATACAGGTTGTGGCGAGCTAAGATGTATGAACCCTCAGCATCACACATTTGGTGAAAATAACATGACGCGTTCTTTTAGGACGAAAAGATTCAAGAAAGCAAAAAGTGAAGAAAAAAAAATCCTATTTCTAGGATAGAAATAAGTGAGATCCTGATGAAACTAATTAAATATACAATTACAACTATTTTTTAGTATATCATGAAGAGGAGTGCAAGTAAGATTGGACCAGATGTATCCAAGGGAAAAATGGATTGTTTAGGTTAAAAACAAAGAAGAGAAGATATTACTAAAAAGATTTAAAGACTGTTTAGATTCACTAATGCAGCTAAAACTACAGCTTCTACTTGCTTCTGTCTCATTTCATTGTAAATGGAGCTTTGTGGTGACAAGCATTTATTAAGACATCACTGCCAACGGGCATTTTATACACACAGTCTGTGTAAATGTTTCACTTTACATTTAAAAGTGAAACAAACCGTTCTGTTCTTTGCACTCAACTTTAAACTGATTAAGGGCTTGTGTGACTTGACCCAGAGCTGCTCTGCCTGTCACATGAGGAACCACTGGTGTTCAATTTCTGAGGCATGACTCTCATTTAAACACAGACAAAGATGATTTCATGTTTGGAACAACATCAATCATATGGTTCCATCTGCGTTAAATAATCAGTTTTCAGAGAATTTACTCTTTCCTCATACATACAGAACTGTATTCAATACTGACATAATAAGCGCATGAGATGACTGCTGTACATTTTCACTGAAAAGGCCTAGAATTCAATCAAAAGAGAAAACTAAATAAAAATAGAATAAAATATCTTTCAGTATTGGGCTGTTTATAGAGAATACATGCACGTCATACTTCTAAACATTAACAGCGTTTTAAGCAAATATGAGTGAATTACATCCCACTGAGAATAAAGTTATATAAAAGCATTTATTTCATTTATTTGCTACCACATTATCAAATACTATTTTGTTTGCGTTTACTATTAATGTGCATTTACCCTGGTAGAGGTTAAAAAAAAAAAAATAGACTCCTGTAAATAGATTCCATGCAGTGCGTTTATTCTACTCACATTGCATGCTATGGCTATCTCCAGGGATCGACACCACTGAGACGGCGGATAACGGCAGGCTGGTTTAGGGTGGGACATCCCGGAGCTTCTCCGATCAGTACAGAGGAGTAACAACACAGCCAACAGTCCTGACAGCTTCATGTTTGATCTCAGGAGTCCGCACAGTGACCGAAGAGAGATGACTGAAGCTGCTGCTCCTCTCAAGAGCCGTCCAATCAGCCTCATCATCAGCTGATTAACTCCAGGTGAGATTGAATGATGCTGCCTTCAGGGACCCTCGGAAAGCTCCGGCTTCTGGCTCCGTAAATAAGTAGAAAACGACAACAACTAATATCTGGCTGTTCAACGTTAGGGTTAGTTAGAGAAGTTTAATGTGAGAGAATGGCGTCTTAGTATTTTGTGATAAATATGCCTGATGATACACAACAAAAAACAGAATATTATGAGTGTATAACAACTGGCAATGGTGACGGAGCCTCCACATGAAGCACGCATACTGGTATTATGATGGTGATTAGCCTCCCTCTGGTGGTCACATGTGAGCAGAACAATTAAATAGTAAATAGTGTGGTTTTAAGGAAATAGTCACAAATGTCCAATCCAAATGTCCCTCCTGAAGCCTTAAATTGATGATGTGCTTACATTTTACAAGCTACACTAGAAAATACATTCAGGTTACAATGTGGGCACGAAACCCCGGGAACATATGTTTCAGCTTTTAAGGAGAAAATGATGAGCGAACCGTGAGAAACCCGTCAAGAGGCGCGGAAGAACATGCGCTTTTTAAACGTCACTGTACACGTGTTTCAGAGAAGTTTGCTCGCATATGTTTGCATTTTTTAAATGAACCAAATAAGTAACTTTCATTCCGTTAATTTAAGTTTGGCTGCTCAAAAAGCCACCAGGATGTGTTAGCGCTTACTCAAACTAGAAGGAGGAATACAAAATAACCCCCCAATTATTTTTTTTTGGGTGAGCAATATCCACTGGATGCAGACAATTCGGCTTCATCTCCAACACACTGCCTTCAGACGAAGCAGGTGTTTCTTCGGCGATGCTGCTGCAGGTTAAATGAGAAGGAACCCCGGCGGGCCAGGACCAGAAGGACCCGGAACCAGAACATGGCAGACAGCAGCTCGGCAAGCAGATGATTGACAAAGCATCATTTTCGGCTTTCAACATAATTATTATTCAGGTATCTCGAATTATGGAGAGCAGCTGTGTGTCTGGGAAGTCAGGGGCGTTTCCTCGCATCCATGGGAATGTTCTTTTAACGACCAGTTTCACTGCCTCTTGCCCAACAAACCGCATGATAATAATGGAGTATTTACTCACCATTAGCAGGTGGAATACGTAGTCTACATCGATGGCATCTTATCTAATGGATAATGGTTTCTCACCAACAGATTTTAACTGCATTCTGTGACAGGGGGACATCAAGACCTTGGTCTGAACTGGCTGGCTGGCTTCCACTTTTTAAGCACATGCTGCATTGAAAAGGTCTGAAGGTAAGACTTTTTACTCTACTTCATTTAACCGACAACTTTAGTTACTACTAGTTACTTTGCCAATTCGAAATTTGCAATGCAAATTGTATTTAACAAAAAAACAATATTTATTCTTCTTGGTTAGGACAAGCTACCCACCAGTGTAGATGACCTCATTAAAAGCAGCTCAACCTTTACCTGGTGCAAACACTAGTGGTGCTTACACATAAAGGCATCAATAATAATCCAATAATATCAAATGCATTATCCTGAATATATATGTGTACTAAAGTAAGTTGCTAAAGTAAATCTGAATGCAGGACTTGTAACAGGGCATTTCTTCACTGTAGTATTGTTACTTTTAATTTAGTAAAATATACTACCTCTACCGCTGCAGGTTGCACATCCTCGTTCTTAAGAATACAATTTCTCTGACACGCCATCTCTTTGACACTCTATTCAGACACTGCAGTTTACACATTGTAGCCCATATTGCGCTTTGTTAGTGGAAAAGGTGTTTAAGATGCTGTGTGTGGAGCTGCAGCTCTTCAAGGTGCTTAAGTAGATATTCTAAATGATGCACAGTAAATGCTAAAATCTAGGTGATACGATGTATAATAGAATACACAGTAAATCAATGGCGAAAACCACAGTGTTATATTGGATTATTTTGATTTAATTCTACCAGCTAAGTCCCATTGAGTTTGAAATCTGTTTTGCAACCCGAGACCTGGAGTATTATTACAACAGAGTACAGTAAATCAATGTGCAGTAAATCGGCTGGATGCTTGTAAATCCACCGTATGTGGTACTGTGGTGCAGCACATGATGTCTTAAGTCTTTGTAGTGTTTTGCTTTATATGTTGTAAATGGTATTTCTCGTGTGTACTTTTTACTTTGTTTATCTAGGCTTGCAGTTTTGATCCAACACCGCCTCTAACATGTTAAGTCTTAGAATAACACTTGCACAATTCATCAAACCGTCGTCATCTCAAATTTATTTGGGGATTCTGAAAGTGCATACATGAACAATGATATCCTGAAGTGGGTAAAGTCAGGTTTTACACCAACAAAAAATGTTTGAAACCATCATTTTTTTTTTCAGATATGACTCCTGAATGAAACACAAGCTATTTCAAAAAAGCTGAATGTAATTTCATAATCAATACATTAAATAAGCAGTTACACTAACAGTATTTCTCACAGCAGAAAGACGAGTCCATACAGCCACAATGGGGAAAAATAGAAGTCAGAGTTTCAGAAACATCAAGTACTATGTTGAAGGTGATGCAGAGACAAGTAGAGGTATTTGATCATATGCACAGACAAAGTGAAACAAAACGTACAAATGTTACATATTCCACCATGTTTATAGCATGGAAGAAAGTATATAGAGCAGAGCTCTGTGTGAAAGCAAATATCAGGTACTAAACAACCTCCTTCCTCTCAACCTTACCCAAAACCAAATCAAACCCTTCATAAACATAACCATCCGTATACTTACTAAACCTAACCTGTCTCCAACTCATTGACTAAACACGTACTAAACCCACCTGTACCTCTTACACTACCTTTAGTACACAACCAGTTCCTTTACACAACTCTATAACCCTAAACACAGACATTTCTGTATAACAACCGTTTCATCACACACAACATTGGTCTTGGCAAATTCTGCTAAAGACTCAAATTTGCATTCACTGCTAACTTTTTTTGACCATTTGGTGCGGACAGTTTTTGATCAATTTCTCCTACAATATCTGTGCCGGGCAAAACAGTATGATTAAACTAAGGCCAGTAAAACCACTTCGTTAAGGTTGGGGGAAGGATTGTCGTCATGGTTAAATTAAAAAAGAGCTAATTTTAGTTTTTGGTCTGAGACAAGTAGCAAACCCTATTCTCCAGTCTCAAAACCAAACATCTTACATGCCCATCCACTATCCCAGCTTCCACACGATACCCTCAGCTTCTCTACCCAGGTGGCTCTCTGCTTCCTGCCTTGTTGCTGAACACTGGCATTGATGTAAATCACATCCAATATGAACTTCATTCCTTAGTCGGAGGAACTGTGTAAACAAATACATTCCCCTTCAAAGAATTAAAGCTAGCATTATTACCACTGAAACCATCTCCATTTCATTACACCACATAACTTGACAAACGAGGGCATCTTCTTCTTTTTAACCGTACACAAGTCAGGCTCATTTAATCTTACGTGTCACAAATCCATTGTATCGAACGCAAAATACAGTAAACGTTCACGAGGTGCTCAGGAAGAAGACATCTTGTTGATTTTAAACCTCCCTGGTGGAGGTTTTATGGAGCATGTGCTAGTTAACCTCCAAATGAAGAAGGCAGAAATCTGTTGTTATAATATATATATATATATTTATATATATATATATATATATATATATATATATATATATAAAATTCTTTTTTTGTCTAGTCATAAACATTTGCAATGTTGAAAGATCGGCAGGCTAGCTTAGCAAGGTTCACTAGTATCTGGGTGTTTTTCTTTCAACATAACAGTATTCTTCATAACTGTGTATAAAGCAGTAAACAACAGTAAATGTATCCGGGTAATGGTTGTTAAAGCTACAGGTAATAGTAGGTTATGAATCATTAGTTGGACAAAAACTTGACTACTGTGATTGCAGCTGAAAGCACATCATGACACATTTGATGATATGAGACACCAATTATTCTCCTACAAAGCATTCATCTATTTGAAATGTGTTTTCTTAATCTCTGCACAATGATAACACAGTTATGTTACAAAGTGAGACAGTGACAAGAGAGAAAGACCAACCTTTGCTTATACAGTTAGCCTACAAAAAAAAGTCTGACTTAACAGAACTAAATACTATTACGTGTTCAGCTCATTAAAGAGACAGATTTTTTTTTTTAAACTCAAATCAGTGCTTTATCAGTGCTACAACATATCAATCTCATCAGCAACTTATCCATATTTAGCACCACCACCTTCAGCAACAGGGTGGATGTACATGAAGACAGTCATAGTATCTCCACCTCGCATGAGATACGTGTGTGCAAACACTGTGCTTTAAATCTAAACCTCTCAGAGAACTGGTGTCGTCTCTGTTGTTTGCTTGTGCACATATAAGCTGTACACCTTTTCTGTGTTCCTGCTTCAAAAATGAACCAGAATATGTTAAGTTTCTTTTCTTATAATTCACAATATTAAATACATTTATGTTTCAAGTTATGGACTTAAATAGGCTCCCCGGGCACCTGTCATTGGCAGCCCACTGCTCCCTATATACAGGGATGGGTCAAATGCAGAGGTCAAATTTCGTGTATGTGTATATGTATATGACAATAAAAAGGGTTTCTATTCTATCTATTTCTAAATTAAACACTTGATCAATCTTTTGAGTGTGCAAAAAAAAAGACATGTCCTAAATGACATGGGACAGTTTTTACATGCCAGATGTGCACCCAACATGCCTTACGTAATGACAGTAATTTAGGTGCATCCATTCATGTTTACTGTATAACAAGTCTCAATAAGATGAAAAAAAAGATGAAGATCCTGTGAGGCAAGGAACCCAGGCTAATAAAGATGAATGCTCAACCAACTGATGATTGCAGGTGTGAGCCATATGTCCCTTAACTTCAGTTTTATCATTTAACACTACACCACTGATACTGTTACTTAGACTGCGGTCCAATAGTCTTTATTGCTTTGGAAGGTTCCTAATTTGAGTGAAATGGCCTGGAAGTATCTAAGAGCTGGTCGAGTTCTCTAAATGTTAAGGAAATGTGCCTAAATGCTTCAATTCTTATCTCCTTTAGCAAAGGGTACACTAGACCACATGAGGAAAGGAGATAATGTCGTCCCACAATTCCTTGCAGCAGAAATATTTAAAGTGAACGATCAACATGACTGACAAGGGACGCAGATGATCATGTATTTTCATACAATCGTACTAATTGGGATTTATGTGATAAATATGAGTGGACAGAGGGGTGAGCGTGAGCAACCATTCTCAATGTGACAACCGTTTTTATTTCACTTTTATGACTTTAATTATAATCCTTTTATATTTAAATTCCAACTCTGGAAATTAAGTTATATTTTTCACCAGGTTGTCAAGGAGCAGTTTGTCACTAAAATGAGAAAAGCTGCTCATCCTTAAAGATCAGTCCACCTGGCTGAAGTTGTTCTCTCTCTCTCTCTGGACAGGGCAAAGTTTCACATTCTTAGCACCGGGGTTGTCTTTTCCTAAATCTTTGACTCTTTTCTCACAGGAGTATGCTACTGCTTGCCCATAAGCACTGAGTATCACAAATCAGCATAAACAGCTGACCAACATTTCAAAATGTGCTTCTTTGCTGTACAGAGTAACTGCACAGGTTAAAGGTCCTGCTTGCACTGCCATCTAGTGGTTGAGGCACGCTCTGTCCACAACCTGTGCAATGTAGCACATACCGCTTCGCTACTGTGCAACACTATATCGCAGATTCATGTGGTCACAAGCACAACAGACCGCACCCGACATAAACAGCTTTTCCATTTGCTTTGATAATAATCAGTCATCCTGTGTGACTGACAGGTGATCTCAGAGAGGTGCATTTAGGGAAAACTACATCAACGATTGCTTAGCACCAATGATGGAGACAAAGCCAAAATAATCAACTGAATACGGCTAACCCATCAAAGAAAGGTAACAAAACATATGTTTTATAGCTGGTGTTGAATTTATAGTAACAGTAGCGGTATCAAAACCGTACCCAGCCATTATGTCCATATTATAAGTCGTAAATGCATATAATTCCTAGGTAATCTGTTCCACAACAATGGCATGCAAAAGCAAACATTTACACCTTTTTAGTGCCACGAAGTAGGAATATGACACAATTTTTTTTCTACTCCTTTCATGGAAATAAGCAGTTGGATAAAACTGAGAACTTCCAAATGTGCAACTTGCATCAAGCATTTGACTTATGACCACTCGGAGAGAAGCACATTCAAAGTAACCCATCAAACAGGAATAAACTACATTAATGGGCAGCCAAAACTAAAAATACTATTGTTAATGACTACTGTATTTTTGCTTAGAAAAATAGTTCAAATGATTCAGTGTAACTCAGTCTAAGCACCACACAGTGCACTACCAAAGGAGTCCCTGTTACCTAACCCTAGGGCCACAGGGACCAGGATAGGCCTGAAATGTTAACAACTTTCATCAGATATTCAGATATGTTCTGCTGCTGTATTCCAACATTTACCAAACGAGTGAATTTCAATATCATAATTTAGTCACATTTGATCGTAACATACTATATTTGATCCACAGCTGGTCTATTTGACAATCACTTTTACAAAATAGTTAAGTATTAGGGCTGGGTATTGTTTAAAAAATGACTATGCCAATACCAGTACCCTTAAAGTGATACGGATACCAACAGAGTACTTCATTTGATACCCATCATGTGAACTGATGTCCCACCGGTAGCTAATGGATGCGGCACCGAACAGCGCTCATACAGCGTTTAACGCTCATCACGCCGTCCCCCGACCCATAGTAACAAGACCACGTCGTTGAGGAAGCCCTGCAGGGTTTCAGTTCTCCCACAGGTGAAAACGGTTAGGCAGTATAGGTTGTAGCTGCTGCAGTAACGGGCCAATCGCACGTTGCATTAAATAGAAGAACGCTCGTTGTGATTGGCTGCGAGCAAAACCAATAATCATTTTTTTCTAGATCTGGGCACAAAAAGGATCGATGGCAGATATTGTTTGACACGAGAACTTTCGATACTACTTGGTTCTTGGTTATTTCGGTCAATACCTTTTTAAAGGTATTGAGTACTGATAGCCAGCCCTATTAAATATAATGATTTAAATATGATTCTATAATAGGGATAGTAATTAACTTTGATAATAAGACCCTCCTTGAGGGTACTCCAGGGTATTTGTGCTATTGAAGCCTTGTATCCAGCTAGACACAACCTCAGTGTTTGGTTCATCAGAACCTTGCTGTTTCCACCCAACATCATACCCGTGTAGGGGACAAGACATCTCTCCTGAGAGTAACACAAAGGAAACAGGATGGCTGCAACAGGAACACTTAAGGGCACTTTTCAACCCGAAATCTAAAAGGCCTGTGTATTAACACTCCCCACATCCAGGGACTTGTCAAAGCTCCTGGATCACCAACTCCAGGTAAATCCTCAGAAAAATATAGAGCTTTAAATACAGCTGTCTGATTAATCAAAGGTTAATCTGAAGCAGTATGATCTCCCATATGCCTAAGTAACTGTGCTTATTGGGTTGGTATTCAAAGATGGGCATGTACACCACACACAGAAAAGCTTTCTTTGTTTTCCTGTGCCTCATGTCTGCTGCTTCACAGTTAATACCCGCTCATATAATATAACTAACACTTTAAAGTGTTAAACAGACACATTTACAGATTACAAGAATTTAAGCTTGATTGTCTCATTTTTCTATGAACAAAAATCTTCATCTGTCAATAATTGAATCGCTATAATGACAACAAACATTGCACACATAGGGGCTATAAAGTATAAATACACCACAGAGGTCCCCCATGCACAGCTATTTCTTTCTATTTGTAATGTCCGGAGGATATTGTGGAAAAGTGCAGAATGAAGATGACAATAAGAAAATAACTTTTATATTCCACTTAAATAAACTTTTTTTTCCCAACCAGCAACATCAATATGTGAAATGAGTGTCTCACAAATCTTCAACGCTCATTTCTGTGCTTATGTGTGTTCTGGTTGTCTTGTTTGGATAAAGTGCTTGTGTGTCACCTCAGTTTCTATATTACACTACCCATAATGCACATGGGCATGGTAGTGCAGAGTTCCATCCTGAGCTCAGTTTCCAAGAAGCACCTTAAACACTGCAACTGCACTGATTTATAAGGATTTAAGATATGTACTGTGGAGGGATGATGGCTGATTCACACCATGACTTGAATTCTATATGAAACGTAATATATGCTTTTTTTTAAAGTATTTATGATTTCTTGTGCTTTACTTTCAGAAAAAACTGAAGTATTTAGTGTCTGGATTGGTGGATAACTTCAGTCAATTTCTCTAGCAAGCCAAATGATATCTGTCTGCTTTGATTGTGTACTTATAGAAAGCATTCTGACAGCTAGAGTGGTATCCTGTGGTACCCTGATATTGCCATTATAAACCACTGCACTGTTAAGAGTTTTTAACTTTGATACTTCCACTTTAGTGCCAGTACCAGCGCCAGTTTGGGAACCTGGCTGACACCAGTACTGTGATCACGTGGAAGCAGTATTTCAGTACTACTTCAGTACTGCTACAAAGATTTAGTTCAATGTTGAATTCAGCTAAGTACTTAATCCCAATTGTGTTTTTTTTCCAAGCTGTATGTGCAGATGGCGAGCAAATGGGATTTCTAGTATTAGGAATAATAGCTTTAAAAAGAGAAATTGGCTAGCTTAGCACAGAGCTGCAGTCAATATGCAACCGTTGTACACAAAGCTGACAATCGACTAATCAGCCTCAAAACTAGAGGAGAAAATCTGTTCCATGTGACTGTTGTTCAGTAATGTTTTTTTTTGTTCTTACCAGGGTGGGATTTTTAGATCTGAGTGACGTATGGTACTTTGTTAGAGCCTGGGAACAGTGTCCATGTTGGTGCATCCGTGGTGGAAATAATGAAGCTTTGGGGAAAGTGCCATCAGGGTGGCATGCTGGTGTGTCTCAGCTGGGCTGCTGGCTGAGAGCGGGCCAGGCCAGCGTTACATTCAGCTGCTGGTTGTGTTGGATCAGAGATGTGTGTCGGTAGTGGAGGACCAGCTCTCTCAGCGATGGGTACTGGTTGAAGGGCTCGGCAAAGCCGTACCCTGTGGGTGTTCTGTAGATCACACAATGCTTCACATCCCCATCCACACTGCATGAGACAAAATACATATAATAATGATATGAATGTGTTAGGGCCGTTTTGATTTTTGGGTCCAACGCAGCTTAGGTTACGAGTTTAATCTGCACTGGACCCACTTTTGTTAAAAATGTATGATCCATTAAGATTAGACGGGCAAAATTGTGTGATTTTTATTTATTTTTTAACATGCCTGAAAGATGCAAATGTGCTGGTACTCACACAACAGAGCAGGCAAAGGAGCCTCTCTGAGTCTGGCTGTCTCTGATGAGGAAGGTCCCGTCCCTCCTCCCTCTCAGCAGCTCTTCTGCCTCCTTTCGTCTCATACAACCAACGTACCAGCTCCTCTCCTCCTGGTCGGTGTCATCTGCTAGAGTGTACGGGCTAAAGGACGATGGGGAGGTGGAAAGGTTTAGATTTTTAAGGAAATATGTATTTTAGAGCATACTGTTCTCACAAAATAGTTCCAATAATTAGCCCTCATCTGATGCCTTCTAACAAACATGAGGAACCTGTTTTCTTGCCACTTTGCTCTTTGCTAATTCATCACACCAGCAGAAGAAATTGTCAAAAAAACTGGCACAGTGAGTTGCATAGGTTAGCTAGTGAAAAAAGCTTCTTTAGCTTGTGTTTTATTGCATTTATGCCCATTAAATAGTAATATAATATAGAGCTGTTATACTACATACATCCTTCGCTGCCATAATCTACATGGCAGTGATGTTTACATGGGACAGTTTCAAGATCTGCACACATGGAAGCATGTTTCAGATTCTAGTGAGTGGCATAAGAAGTAACTCATGACAAATAGAAATAGTAAAATATATTCTTGTACATTCTACACTTTCCTGTTTTCATTATTTTTAAATGAGGCTCAGTTGACCAGGTTAAATGAGGATACTCACTCTTCATCTTCATTCCTTATACCCAGCCAATCATTTATCTGGCTCGGTCTCGTGCCTTGCTGGGTGAGCCAGCTGAAACGTAGAGAAAACACAGTCAAAAAAAAAAGAAGAAGCCATATTACGACACAGAAGGTTTTTCTAACGAGATGTGTTAATGCATAATAACAGCAGACCTTGAGTTTTGCTTTGTTTGTTGCAAAGTTGCGGCACCAGTCTGTATAAAGACACGGTGCTGAGTGTGACATTTTGTCATTCACAAAGCCTCAGCAGCACATCTGCTCATTTGAATTGAAGAGTCCGCTAGAAAGACGGAGTCTTCCCATCAGGCAGCATTGTGCTGAGCATACTGGACATTCACAGCTGTGGCTACATGAGTGAGAACAGCTGATTGGGTTTTCTATGTTTACAACTCTCAGCTGTGTCACTGGTATGTGACCCTCTGTTTTGAACTAAACTACAATCAATCAGATAGATTTGATCTCATTATAATTATTAGACTCTAATTAAGAATCATGTCGACACATCTGATGTGCCCCGGGCTTTGGGACCCCATGTGGGGGTCACCTGATAAGCAGACAGTAGTGAGCTATTCCTGCTTGATACAGTACATCCAAGAGAGCGTGGTCACTATCACCAACACCTAATTTATTCTAACGATACATTCATCTTGCGGTTGCTGCCCCCTCTTGCTCTGCAGTGCATCTGAACGCTTTCTCCTTTTTTGCCTTGTTCGTGCTTTTCATGTCCTTGAGATATATTTGAATGAAAAAAGGTTCAAGGTATCACATCTGTGTTAATCTGTCTATAATCTGTACAGACTAGGCTGACAAAATGATCGAAGAATGACGTTTGAATATTTTTTTCTTGAATATATATGTATATATTTTTGACCTTTATGTACATGGCATCGTGTCCTAACTGATTGTTGGTGATGCTGCACTGCGCCATTTTGAGCTGAACCTAAGTGAAGTTGGAATGAGGAGTTATCTGCACGATATCTCCCCATCTCACGACCAAAACCTTAATAAGGTGTCAGCTGGCTGAAGGGAGATCGCAGGAAATTACCCTACTTGCTGTTGGCTATATTATATTATTTCCAGTAAATATCACAATATAAAACGTGTTCTTTTGTTTCAGAAGTAGGCGTCTCGTGACTCCTGTCATGTGGTGTGCACGGGGTAGACGGCTGCTTTTTGTCACAATCTAATATTAACTTTCATATTAAAATGTCTGTTTTTCTTCTTTTCTTTTTACTATTCAAATATATATTAATATTTAGAATATTTGTTGACAGCCCTAGCACAGATGTAGAAGAAGAGGTGCTGAAGGGTTATATTTACAGCAGGTATTGATCTCTGATCTTCCTGAGCTGCACCAGGTCGGGCTTCAGGGTGTCCATTTTCTTGTCGACCTCCATGTGAGCCAACGCCTTCCTCCTCAGCTCCTCCTCCAACTTCTTTTTGCTGTTGTGGATCTCCTCCACCCTCGAATGCAGCTCATCTGAATTGTTTTGAATCCTAGGAGGAGGAGGAGATGGAACAACTTCAGTTAACAATTCAGAGTCTGCTGGTTTGCTGTGGGCATGGCCAGCAGTGAGTACCTTTTTCTTTTAGATTTTGAAAATAAGTCAAACAGAATACAAAAAAATTGACAAAATTGGAAATGAGGGTTTGGTATTTTGAAGCCTACTTGTCCGACTGTGTACTGCTGTCTAATGTGAGGAACATGTCGATATATTCTTTGCTGTAGCGTTCTTGTGTTTCACACTCCTCCTCAAAGATCCGAATGATTTCACTGAAAGCCTCTATGGCTGTCCGCTTGCTCTGCAGCTCCTGAGGGAGGAAAGGCAACAAATCTTTACTTTTACTTTCAAGGCCTTACAGTCAGACTCAGTTGTGGTAAAGCATTTAGAAGTAACAATATTTACTTAAAGATTTTGCTTTTAACCAATAAAAACGACTGATCTTAATGATTAGGATACTGTTGTACCTGAGAGGTTTGGTTAAACTTCTCAAACAGACGATCATATTCTTTGCTCTTCTCTTTGTATTGATCCTGAAATATCCTCAGCTGTTCTCCAACTGCATCAATGTCAACGTCAATCGCAATCTGCTGCTACAGACGAGAATGTTTAGATAGATTAAGATATTTAGGAAGATATTGAAATATATCAAGGACCAAGTTCATTTTTAAAGCTCCTATGATTCATGTAATCTGATCTGAACATTACAGAAGGTTTGGGGCATATTACTAAAATTTAGACATTTAAAAGCATCTTTGATATCAACTCATTCATGATCCCTGTTACCAGCTCTGATGCTGCCAAAATCACATATAGGCCTACATAGTTTCAAATACAATCATAACAATAAACCTCTACGATAAATGATGCTGAAAAGGTTTACGTTTTGATATTTAGCAATTATATAGTTGTAACATAAGGAGGCACACATTGAGAGCTCAAGGCCTCATCAACCCACCTGCTGGTATCTGGTGATGGGATAGAGTAGCTGGGTGTCCAGTTTAGAGTTGTACTGGGCCAGAGACTTATTCTGGAAATACTGGATCAGGTCCACCACAGAGGTAAAGGCCAGTGGCTCAGAAAAGCCGTACTTCCCCTCATGATGGAAGATCTTTATCAGTCTGTTGGAGCCACCTTTCCTACAAAAGTCAAAGCATAACTGTCACAAAGCTGCCAATGCACTCAACACCAACACAGACAGAAGCATCACTAGAAAGTTGTCTATAACAAAACAATGGTTTTGTTATCTCTTGCAAACAGAGGAAGGAAAATAATTCTGTCTTCGGCTATGATTGGATTTCACCACTTTCAGGACCTAAATTGTAATTCCACCATTTGGCCACTACGTAAAGTTTATCCCAGAGCCTGCCGCTCTTACTGGGAGCTTGGTCCGGACCAAGGGGAAAGAAATGATACAAGTTATACTGAAAAGGTTGACCAGACCAAGGTGTGAAAGCACTGTTGCCTTTTTAGGCCGATTCTAGTGAAAGACAAATCCTAATTTTCTGTAATAGTCTTTTTCTATTTTAAAAGGACCATTTTGTCAATTGTCAGACTTCAGTGTTATTGTATACAACTCTTAACAATTTTTCGTACTGTTTTCAAAGTTGTCAACTCTATTCAACCACCTCCCCAATCAAATCAAACATCATGGTGATGCAAGGTAGCTGTAAGAAATCAATATTTGATAGTTGCTTTGCAAATATTCTGGTTTCTTTTAAGTTAAAGATGAAGTGGAAATGTCACATGCCTGATATCTTTTATTCAAAAATGTCATGAGGGCGCAAAGCTTGGCACAGATGTTGCTGGTGCAAGATATATTTACTGTAAAGCAGAAAGGAGTCTATAGAGTATAAATGCATTGTCCAGTACAGACCCTTTACCTGGATCTCTCAAAAATGTAAAGACGGTGTAGACGGCATTCATTAAAGTTGGAGTGTGTCTGTTCTGTGAGACAGATGTGAGACGAATGACGAGACGTGTAAAAAAGGTGTTATGTTTCTGACTGCAGGAGTCTGCGCCAAGCTCTAATCAACAGAGCTTTATAACTGAAACCGTGATTCAACTAAACAGAAACAGAACTGTATAAAGTTACAATATTAAACCGGTAAAACTAAAGTTAGACTTTGAAACCAGGAAGTAATAACTGACCTCTGACTACATGTTTTTGATTTAGTGGGAGCATAGCCTTTCCATGAGATACAGTGCTCACAACACATAGAAGTTAAAAGTAGTTACCTTAGTGTGAGAGTGTATTCCCCCTTAACCTTACTGGAAGCATCTCGGACCAGGAACGTGCCATCAGGAGTGTTTCTCATCATCGCATTTACTTCGTCTCTGGACAACCACAAAAGGGCACCAAGGTTTCAAACTGTTCATGTTGGAGTTTTCAGATAACGACTTGCAAACAAAGTTGGTTTTAAAAGCTTCAACGTTTACATATTGTAAACAAAACAGATTCATGTTCTGTGTTATATTAGCAGGTCATACATCAAATCATCAACATGCCATATGGAAATATGAAATACCTCGAGGTATTTCCCCAGTACCACTCTGCATCCGACAGATGGCTGTCATCAGAGCTGGAGTCACATGCTGCCATTGCTTTGGTTATGTTGTTCTTGGATTGAAGTTCTGACCACAAAGGCAAAAAAAACAACGTTTGCTTTAATACAAAATAGCAAAGACAAAAATTGTATAATTTTTTTTAAACAAAAGCAGGTTACCAAGTATTCTTTGATTTTAAATAAAGGTCATATTATTGTTATTAAGTCTGGATTGCTGGAGTCATCAGACCTAAAATATGTTTTAAAGACTAAGTATAAACAACTACTTCTATAAAAGATAATCCATCATAGTCCTCGTCCTTTTGTCCCTTTTCACTCATTATACAACCATCTTTTTCTTATCGATTAACAGCAGGTAAACTTTTGTCGTGATTTTAAAACGTACTAAATTTCAAAACAGGAGAGGCATTAGATAAACAGTTTGTGCTATGTCGTATGGTTTCCCTTATTTTAGAACAAAAGTGATTAGACAAGCTACAAAAGATCTGTTACACTTCTAACAAGCAGAACAAAGAGATGCTTGAGATTACCTCCTTCCTTGACAATGTTGGCTCTTAGTGCAGCAAACGCGTCAACATGATCGACGGGGGAGGAAAAGTCCTGCAGGAACGCTGTCGGGTTGCGAGAGTGAGGCTCGCCGTCGTCTTGGCCCATCTCAGGCTCCAAGAACTCTGCAACATCAACCGCACAACGACCCAGTGTTACTGCTGATGTCAGTTGAGGCTGATCTGAATGTGGCTATCTGCACTTTGTGGTGGTTCAGCACACACTGCTTGCCCACTGGCAAGGACTGCAGAGGGAGATATCGTTGTGTTGCTTGGTCTTGCACCATGTGGGAGAGTTTGTCCAGACTAGTCTGCTGACAGGTGACACTGTCTGACTGCCTAAAATACCAGAACGGGCACTCCTCAACACTCAGACTCAACAGCCAGACTCTGCTAGGGCTCGACCTCGCCTTGCTTTGCCTCGCCTTGCCTAACAAACAACAGCTGTCTGCAGCGAGATGCCATGGGCATGAATGACTGGAGCTGTTGATGTTCTGCTGTGTCTGATTGTGGTAATTGTCCCTCTATGTGTGTGTGTGTGTGTGTGTGTGTGTGTGTGTTTGTTAATGTGGCAGTAGGAAAGCAGGGGAAGGTGAGAGTCTGTCTGTCAGGCATTTCATTTATGTGTGAATTGTTTGTGTTTACTAGTATGTGAGAGGCGTGCTGTTAGCAGTGGATGTAAATCATCCCTTCAGCACTTGTGATGGTATGTCTGAAGATGCATTACATTTCTGCTGCAAATAGAGCTGTATGTTGGAGGAATCACATATGCTGTAGTAAAATTAGAAAGTGCATAAACTCATTAACCCAGGGCCTACAAACAGTGAAGCTCCGTCAAAACTTGCCTGGTGTAGAAACCTAACAAAAGCTCTGCGTGTAATGAAACTTGAATCTAAGAATCCTTCAGATCACTAAGTCTTTGAAACCATGTGATCCCAGCTCCTCACATTTCTCTTGGGGTTTGCCAAATTCTTGTTTACTAGAGCTGAAAGGATCAAATTGATTAGCGATTTTGATAATTTTCTAATCAAAGTGGATTTAATTTAATTTATTGTTGAAGTAAATTTACCAAATATTTTGCTTTTGGACTGTTCGTCAAAAGAAAACGGTCACTATTTGTTGAATTTATTCAAAAGTGGGCCAATATTACAAAGTAAAGTGACTCTAACTGCTGAATGTAACCAAGTTCTACAAGGTTTAATTTGGCATCAATTAGATGTTTCTTACTGCAATGCTTCTTTGGTGTTTCTCCTCTAGTTTGTATGTACACAGCTTTACGCCGTCACTGTATTGCATTAAAGAAACATATAATTCATACCCGCCCATTTAATATTTCATGCCCATCCAGGCCTTGGCACGACTCCCAAAGCCAGAAAAGGTGAATGTGGCTTTTACTGCCTGAGCCCTGGATAACTGAGATAACTTCACTTTTCTACTCTGTTGTAAATGTATGATTGCCATCGATCATCGATCTTAAGGTTGCAATATAATTACTGTCAATTTTACCGTCTCCCAGTGGAGTAACGGTTGCGCATATCATCACGGATGACACAAACTGAGATCAGATAAATGTACTTCGTCCTACTGACAGGAATGTCTCAACACTTTCTGATGTCTCATTAAATGCAGCAGACGTTTGACTAAAACGTTCTGCTTTGTTTAACTAAAATCGATCAGAAGACATTTTTAACATCTTTGTTATGAGATTGGTTCTGCATGATTTTCTCATCCGTTTACTATAATTCTTCAAATGCATCATAATTACTATTGCAATAATGATATCATTATTGCTGTGTAACAATGCTTAGTATAGCACCAAATCTTACCTTGAACTGCTGGTGAAGGCTCAGGCCTAGTAGCCCCGGATGTGTCGGTCTGCTGTTGAGATTGGTTAAGCGGTGATGACGTTACAGAAACTACAGAATGAGGCTCGGGATTATCTCCCATATGGTTGGTGCTCTCGTTGATGACCACGGCTTCGTCCCTGAGATGGAGGGATGCTAGCGATGACGTCGGGAAGTCGGCTTGCTGGAGCTCATTGTCCTCGGCACAGTTTAGCGCTCTGAGCTGGAAACCCTCTTCTGCCATTTTCGCAACACAGACTGAATATTCCAGCTATGTTTTATTGAGTTGGAGAAGCAGCAGGATGTTGGGTGCCACGGCGCTGTTGATCACATACTATCGGCTTTCAGTTACACTCATGGCTGAGGATAGAGAGAGTGACGGTGCAGAGTTCAAGGCTGCCCTGTGTTGTGGAGGTAGAGCATTGTGCTCAGCCTGAATCCCCGGTTGAAGTTCATCACAGAGCAGAGCGATGACATTGCGCCATTGTGTTTTCACTTGAAGGTACTCAGTGGGAGTTTTCTCTGTTCTGCTTCACAGTCATTTGCTTAAAGGGATTCATATCTTGGAGCTACCCAGAACAACCACAGTTTGTTCCTGAACAGCTGACTGCCTGCTTCATAGGCACCTCAACACTAGTTATTGAGCCGTAAATCCACTGGAGAGTAACAGACTGAAGTACTACTGTCTGATTTTATTCCCAAGGACTCACGCATCGTCTCATGTCAGAAAACCTAAAACAAAACAAATGCACAAATAAAATCAGTACTGAGAATTAGCCTTTTTGCATGCAAACATCTGGCCAAATAATGGTTTAATAATCTGCACTGTATCACAAATCTGTCCCCTGTTTGATATTTTGGGCAGCTAAACCCTAACTTGTTACAGCTTCAGCTTATTATCCAGCTTGTTTCAGACTTGCTGCCCGGTGCGTTCATGCTCAGTCATTTTTAAATTGAATCGCTGGCATATTTATGGAGTACTTATAGAGGCTTCCTGCAAAACAGGTTTAGAAAAATTCAATCATTGCTGTTACTAACATGTTAATGCATTGAAATGTTCAACCCCGTAGTTATCTGATAGGTGTTAACACCGTCATTGTGAGGCTTAAATTTGTCAACTTTCAGACATTTTTCCATAACGTTTGTACTGGATCTTATATCCATTCACACATCTGGCTGTGTCAGACCTGTGTGGGAAATGCTGCCAATAAATGTGCACTGGAAACATATTTAAGCAGATTATATGTTACAGAGAATAAACAAGAGAGTATTGGATATCGCCTTTTGGGATGTTGTGGGATTTTCTTTTTAGGAAGTCGGCATTTAGAATTTTTTATATAATGACTGTATAGTGTTATATCATGTAATCCATAACATATGTAATTCAAAGGACTGTGACTAAATCCTGTTCCTCTCCCAAGCATCTGGGATTAGTCAGCAGTTTATTACCCTCCTATACCCTTTACAATGTGACGAGAGATGTGAGATCATCTGCGCTACAAGAGTAAAATTGTCATCAAAATTGATTTGAATGAAAGATCAGATTATTTTCTTACCGTGATTGATCTGATCCCATCACAATAGGTCATAGTTGCTTACCTACACAGTAACCTCATTTAACTTATTGTGCTAAATCCTTTTCTCATTTACTAAATCTGTTCAACTGATGCTCTCAGCATCTATTTTCAAAAAATCAAGTTTCAAAGTATCAAAAAATCGTGAAAATTCCTGATTATGTGACAACTCAAATTTACTTTATTTGTACTGACTTAGAATGTGTTCTGTTCCTGCAAAAGAAGGATATTTAGTATCGTATCCAAATTTACTGAGTGATGAAATATTGCAGATCAAAAGTCAAAGTGTTGGAAATGGCGTCGACATCGAAATACTTCCATTGGTACGCAGCCATGAAGTCTTCGTGGATCGGGACATTGTGTCCAAATCCTGTTGAGATGATGCAAGATACTAAACTTGATTTAGACGAAGTCCTGTGATCTTTATCACATAAGACAATTTTCTAATGTTTTTATACTTTCTTAAATTCATAACCTTTTTTGATATTAATACCAACGTTTCTATATATGTTTGTAAGTGAGAAAAACATGCCGTCCCAAACTAGGATGTGCTTTAACGATGACCTAATCAAAACAAAGTAAATGATGTTTGCGAGGCTCATGCATTATTGTTGGATTAGTGGATCCATAAGGAAAAGCAATCGTGAGAAGCAAACTTGGAGTCTTAAAAATCACTTTGCGTATGTTGTATTTTAAAGCGCTGTTTTGAAAATGTCACATACTTTGTCAGGCAATTAAATTCGTCAATTTTCTTCTGAACGTGTTTTGGTTAAATATTCGGTCGTATTCCGTTATCGATCAGCATTGCATCACAAAAACGGGACGGCTTATATCCGCCATATTTCCCCCCCAACGCCTTCAAGCTTTCCATCGTCCCGTATCTAAGCTCGGAATGACGAAGAGATGCGAAGGCTGAGCATGCACGGAACTTTCAAAATGGCAACTTCTGGTGTAGATAAAATCAGAACAGCCTGAAAAATTAATCATCATGAGGAAACTCAGCAGGACGGGACAGTACACACCTACCTGGGCCAAGACGGAAGGGACCGGGCGGCAGGGGAAGCCAACGTTTCATCAACATCCATGAAGGGGCGAAGAGACGTAGCCGGACGCACACGTGGCTCAGATCAAACCAACCACCGGCCTCGGTCCTCACGCCATCCAATGTCCCTCTACCCCCCCTCCTCCCAACCCGTACTGCCTCTCTGCCTGTGTCCTCCATCTTTTAAAGATCCTCTCCACTTGGTTGTTGTCCATCTCTTCTGAGTGCCACATTTTCCCACTGTGCCATTCCTCTGGGTATTTCCTCTCCTCGTCAACGATACTCTTCATGTCTTCATGAAAATCAAGCCTTTTCCATGATATTTCCCACTTAGTTTTTACTTTTACGTGCAATGCACAGAAAAAAAAAGTCCACTCATCTGTGGGGTGCAGTATAAAAACAACTATTCGAATATATGAAAGAGATCTATAAAAATGATGTAGGTTTTAGAGCTTGTGCAAGTAAAGGAAAGGCAAAAGGTAAAAGCAGCTCTACTCTTCGCACCGTAACTCTTTTTCACAGTTTGAGAGCACAGTGTGGCTGCACAGTGGGGGGACAGAAGCATGAAAATGAGTCGGTGGGAAAAAAAAAAACTCCAATATAAATAAATAAGGGAAGGATGCCACTGTTGCTATACAGAGCGAGAGGCTTAGTGGTCTCCTGAAATCCTATTGGCCGGCCTGTTGCCATGTGCTCAGGAGTCAGCAGAGATGCTGCTAACAAATCAAGGAAATGTTCTAATATTAGACTGTATGTATCTAGGCAGCGGGAGCCCCTGACCTCTCAACTCAGCCAGCGTTACGTTCCACTTCACAGATCAGCATAATGAAAGAAGTGGTGTGGAAGTAACTGGTTAAAAAAGATGTTACGGCACCATAGACAAAACAGTAGACACAGTCCCCCACCAACTCCCTCCATGAGATCCCAGTCAGAACAGTTACAAACGGAGAGACGAGAGGAAACGAGTCATCTTCTGTTGATATTGCTAAAATGCTGATATTTATGAAATACAGCTTTAGGTTGTGATTGCACTGTATTTTTGCTCTCTGGACAAATTAAAGAACATACAGTTTGTTAAATATCTTGTTATTTAGGTGAATTTATTTCTCTATTTCTAGTGATCTTATACTTACAGGTTCTGCTGTAATAAATTAGGTCCTTGCAGCAAAACATTTACAAATTATAACTGAGCAAAGATAAAAGACATTTGTTTTTAATGGATGCTGCCTATAATTTATTTGCTGGTGTATGCTTTTTTTACCCTATACCTTGCATTTGTTATATATTTTAAGAAAAAATATCCATCATACATTATTATCTTTGGTATTAATAAGCTGTTTTATACCGTCAGTATCGCTAATTCTTCTGATAAACTAATAACATGTATTTATTTTGAGGCCATGGCAATATGGCAATTTCTCATGCAAAAGGCTTTAAGAGGATCCCTAAAGTGATATTATTGAGCCCAGGAAAAAAATGCCATTATTGTAATTGCCATGTTAACTTCCTTCATGTAATGCAAGGAGTTCCTAAATATCTACACGTAGTTCATCAATGCAGGTTAAATGGGTTCATGCTGTATCTTACCTCTTTTTTTCCATAAATGTAAACGGAAGTTTTTTTTCTTCTGTTCAAACGTTAAGAGAAAATATTCTGAAATCACAGAAATATCATTAAAATGATACTTTTGCATAACATTGAAAGCTCCATCCTCATTTATAATCTATTTTGGCTCTTGGCCATTTTAAAACGATATTTGCAGCAGGGGAAACTAGAGAATGAAATTAATTTAATTTTCCACCTTAATTAGCTCAAAAGATCGTCTCATCTCCATCCAGGATAGATCTTGCAGTTCAGTTTGTAATGGCAGTATACCTTACCTTACATGAGTTATGTTTTACTTGTTAAGAGATTATACTTCTCATCTACATTTAAAACAGATCGTGTCTTTGGTAATCTCATAATTACTGATTTTGTTTGCAGATGATTTGATTGTGTGCAGTACTTGTCTCAAACAGCTGTGGAGTGAATGCCCCCAATACGTTGGTGACTACGGAATCACATTTAATGGCATGATAACTAGATGTAAAGAGGTTAGACATATTGTGTCTCTCCAATTCTTCTTAGCAAGCATGTGAATACATTAAACGTGTGTCTTTCAGTTGCATGATATGATGCCATGGTGTGCACCAACATTGTATTGTACCAGTCCTTCAGGCAGGGATAAGAAACGGCTTGTATAAATGTGCAGATTGAATATGATAGAGAATAAATGCACTGATGAATCCCTCCAAAAACCTGCATGCTTTACCTTAAAGGTGAGGTGACCGGGGCATTTTAAAAATGGATGTTTTGGTTTTATTTGTTGTTGTCTCTGTTTTGATGTGATTTGTGTTGTATATGATTTTTCAGTGATTCTTGGGATAGTAATTTAGATTTAGCGATTGATTGCTTAACTGTGTCGACACTTATTAAACTATGATCCTTTGCAAAAACAAAAACCTGTAAGATCTCAGTGCAGTTCATAGGATTATATTTATTTCTACCACTGCTATCATTGGATGAAGAGCATGAAAAACCATCTAGAATAACAAAAACATCGTTCTGTTTAAACGTAAAGAATAAGGATTAGCAAATAAGAATAGCTTTATGTATATTTTAAATGTAAATTTGCATTGGAAAGCCATTACACTTTGCAAAATATTTGGATTCCACAATTAGGGGCTGTTCACATGTTGTGTTTAAACATGCGTAGAAAACGCCAGTCTTGCCGCTTTCACCCTTTTATCCAGGGTGCTTGGGAGGTTGTGCTCCCGTCGCGCCTGCTATTACTAAGCAACCAAAATATCTGCATTGAAGAATATGATGATTTTTGAGGTAATTTCACAGTAAGCCTCATTAAAAAATGGATTTGAGGGCACAAAAAATGCAGCATGCGAACAGCCCCTTATGGAAAATGTAACGGCAATGTTGGAAAGTGAATTAGGTGTGTATACATCTGCTGGGTAAATAAAGAAAAGATCAGATAAGATAATCCTTTATTGGTGCTGCAGTGGGGAAATTTACAGGACTACAGGGAAAGTGTCCCCCTGAGTGCAAGGTTTGTATGGTTCTTCTGTTTCAGCTCATATGATGATGACAGAGAGGTGCCGATAATGTGTATCTTGATTTATTGCAGAGAGTCTCCCTTACAGGTGCAGCAGTGTGTTTAGAAGTAATAACAGCAAGGGACAAGGACAGCAAAGCTGGACAGATAAAGGTAAAGAATAGACAGGATTGTTATGTTCGTAAGTACCAGCAATAATATAAGAAATAATACATCTATATACTAGCCAAGTGTTCTGGAAGTTGTAAACAAAAATTATAGTGCAAAGAAATAAAAACTGAATGGATGTAAATAGACTGGATGATTATGTACAGTCTGTATGTGTAAATATGTCTCTATACTGTATATAGTGTGTAGGATTTATATTGATAGTGACATGAAACCTACATATTAACAACAAATTGTGCGTAAAATTCTAATCTATGAAGGCAGCAGTGGATATGTTGCTGTTACAGGGTTATTGACAGTATATGACTGTTAAGTGTTCATCAGAGTGGGAAGAAACTGTTCTTATGTTTGGTTGCTCTGGCTAACGGTGTTCTGTAGCGCCTCCCAGAGGGTAGAAGTTGGAACAGGTTGTGTCCCGGGTGTGAAGGGTCTGAAGGGTCTGCAGTGATGCTTGCTGACTCTGGAGGTGTATAAGTCCTGGTTGGAGGGCACAGACCTGTTTGCCCAGTAGGAAAACCACAGGGGGTCTAGCAAGGGTGCTGTGATGTTCTTCAGGACAGTCTCTCAAAGGATATCGTGAACACAGACGTCAGAGTAACGTAAAATTGTCTAGTAGTAGTAAATGTACAGTTTAACCCTCAAGTGTGCATCAATTTCCACCCAGGAGGCAAAACAAAGTGCCTCCCGACCACAGTCTGGAAGCTGTAGCAGGAACGGTTAACACAGGCTTTGTGTTTCCGTGTTGCATATTAACTTTTGAAAATATAATCCAGCCTCTTTCCACATTAATTAACCGTCTTAAACCAAATTGTTTTTGTTACATTAGTCTGCATACACAACAGTTTTAGAAGCTATTTAAAATAATTCCATGTGCAGCAGAGCAAGAGGTGAAACATTGTTTCAGCAAACTATTTGAAGAAGAATTGACAATCATATCATCATTTCTATGAGCAGCCATTGAAATGAACAACATGGATTTAGTTAAAAAGCCAAACCCAGCAGCAAAAATTAAACACAAACGGACAATAATATAATTAATTGCATTTATTTTTGACAATTAATTGACAAATAGAATTCATGATTGTGACAGCCCTACTTGTATGTGACAGTCAAACAGGATAAGTATATACAAAAATATTACCTCGAGCAGGGTCACAATTAACGGCATGAAAGACAGTAATTCACTGAAAGTAAAACTGGCAGAGACGAGTTTGATTTATCATAATAGCAACATCGATTATATCTAAATGTCTAATTATATCTAAATGTTTTCAACACACACACATGACATCGGCATACTGAGAACTAGTTTGAATAAGAATAGAGTTGGAGCAGTAGTTTAGACTTCATCAACTGGCCCAGTCTGAACTTCTTTTATCCGACAGGTGAAGAACATTTCACTTCCTCATTGTGAGGTTAAGGAACTCCTTCCTGGTCGTGGGATCATCATGAAATCTTCCCAGCATGACACTTGTAACAGTGCTGGTGTTCATCTTCTGCACACCTCTCATCACCATGCACATGTGGCTGAAATACACAAAGGAAGATGTTTAAATTACCGTATAGTGATGATTTGTACAGAATCAATGCGATATCAGAAATGAGAGTTAAGCCTCGAGAAAGTAAAATACACTGATCGGTTCATCCAAAAGAGATTAAGATGTAATTGTAATCTAATATGGATGACACAAAAGCTAAACACTCACACAGCCTCAATCACCACTGCTACTCCAGCGGGCTCCAACGCCTCAGAGATGGCTGAAGCAATCTGCTTGGTTAGACGCTCCTGAACTGCAGAGAAAGTAACACATCAGATGTCGCACACAAACGCAAAAAAAGATGAATAACATTATGAAGGAAAATATGTGTAAATAGTATTACGGCAGTTAATTTTACCTTGAAGCCGCCTGCTGTAGATCTCAACAATTCTGGAAAAAATGAGAGTGTAAGAGATGTTGGTATTTTAGTGTGTGTGTGTGTGTGTGTGTGTGTGTGTGTGTGTGTGTGTGTGTGTGTGTGTGTGTGTGTGCGCACGTGTTTTGATCACCTACCTAGCAAGCTTACTGAGGCCAACCACTTTCTTGTTTGGAAGGTATGCGATGTGAGCCTGGAATATTTAAACAAAGTATTGTCTATGTATAAGATGTGCAATATGTATTAAAGTACCCTCCATAATACATATATGGTCAGAACAACAAGCCAGTACTTTTCTATTCAATATCAATATCTGTTTTGATTTATCTAATATATATATATTTTGCGGACACTTCATTCTGACCTTGCCAAAGAAGGGCACCAGGTGATGTTCACAGAGAGAGAACAGCTCGATATCCTTGACAATCACTATCTCTTCGTGGTTTTCATCAAAGATTGCATCATTCAAGACATCTGTGGATTAGATGTTTGCTTCACATTCAGTATTTGTATTAGCGCTACTGAAAGTTTTGTTTTCAACAAGATAAAGAAAAGAAATCCATCCTCACCCTGAGTAGTTTCTTTGTAGCCTTTGGTGAGGAACTGCATGGCTTTGGCTGCACGTAGTGGTGTACGTAGAAGTCCCTCCCGGTCGACGTCCTCTCCAAGCTCGCTCAGTATGGTGGTATAAGCCTTCTCTATGTGAGACAGCTTTTTTGCATCTACAGTGTCCTTGAAGTCCTTCTTTTCTCTGCACAAACTATTACATTTGCATGCGTTCAGGTTCCTGTCAACTCCTCCGTTCATCTCTGAAGCATTTTGATACTCCATTCTGCCTCTTACCTCTACTTTCAGTGAACGATACTGCAGGATACAATGTAATAGGCCAAGTGGTACACCGTTTGCTCTGTGGCCTCAGAAAGCACGTCCCCTGTTCTTTATACCCTGATGTGGGGCCTTCAGGCTACGGCATCACTGAAGCCTCAAGACACCATGCAGAAAATATGTGAAAAATTTCAAATTTGAGCTCTTGATCTAGGCTTAAACTCTCCTCACTGACGTGGAGTAAAACCACCACAGAAATCAATTTCATATTCCCTTGCATTGAATTCCTCAGAACAGCATTTGACTGATCCTGTGATTTGAGTTGAAATACATCCCATGCTTTGATTTGAGGTCACAGAAGACGTCCTGAGTTCTTGGAACATCTCACATGCGAGCCTCAACATGCTTTTGAAGCCATTGAGCAGTGAAGTGAAGTTGAATGAGATTCAGCAGATGGCTAACGTATTGCCCTGGACTATCCTGGATTAATTAAGCATTGTACAAACGTGGTGGCCAGAAATGTACATTTATTGGACATAATAGGATTAGGAATAACGATCGAAACACGAAAGTAAGTCAAACAACAGGTTTATTTTTCAATTGAAAAATGTCCCACGCATGTATCTAGGTCACAATTCTTAAAGAACATAATATAAAACAGAATAAATGACTAAAGAATAGAAAATAAAATAAGGATATTTATCAGAAATGTTTTACTTTGCTAAAAAATGACTATCAGCCAATATAATGTCTGAGATTTTGAATCTCGGTCTTTTATATCAAATATCTCCTCGCTATCGACAATGTTAAATGGCATTTTCACTCACATAATCGGTAATACACTTTGTCTCAAATAAGAAATTTGGGCTTGTTTCCATCTATTGGCGAGAAGCAAATGGAATCATCTACAGCTTAGTTTGGTCAGATATTGGCGCTGTGGGCTTGTATGGCTGTAATCTGCCAGTAAATCGAGTAGAAGAAGAAATAGAGGTTACAAACCTCGACCTGATCAGTCATGTGCGTTCATTCTCCCAGAAAGCCCTTTCCGCCAGAAAAGTTCATGACCAAGATCATGGTTTGGGTTCAAATTAACCTTTTCCAGCTGAAGGCAAACTTCTCCCACGAGTTAAATATTCGCTCTATCAGAATTTATTCGGCAAAGCGTTTCCATTTAATGCATCAACTTTTTTTCAACAAGCACCACCTCAAGTGAGCATAAAATCCTTTTTCTTGCAATTGGTGACGATTTTTTTTCCGTTTGCATACAGCAATTTCAATGCTATACTCCAAAATAAAGCTAATGTGAAGCCGGTGAATTTGCATTGGCCACTGAAAATATATTCATATTTTATATTATGCTCCACAAAATACTGAGTAGTTTCGAAGTAGAAATACACGTTTTTAAAGATTATTATTTAAGGTCATCACAATTTTATTTTGTGATCTATTGTCAACTTTTGTTCAAGATTTTATTGATACCAATTCCATTCTCCTTTATGCTTATCGGTCCGATTCTTTATCAAAAAAAGTAGACTTGGTTGTCTGCGTCATCGCCATCGCGTCAACCATCGCATTTATTAACTGCCTAATTTCAAAATGTTGGAAAAAATTACAATGCTTCTTTTCTTAAAAGGAAATAACTTGGAAAAAAATATAAAACCGAATAATGATAAAAGAATAATAAACAGTTCAACTTCTTTTAGAAACTGATGCAAAAGACACAGGATGCCACAGTCTACGTCAGGGGTCACTAATGGGCAGACCGCGGTCCGGGTCTGGACCCAGACGCCGGTGTATCTGGACCCAGACCTATAACCGGTAGATAATTAAGAATTAATACATTTTAACGGAGCGCTAATTTGAAATATTGTGATATTATTCAATTTAACTTTCGTTATTTGATTGACAGTCAGTAGTTGACTACTACAGACGTTGATACAACTGTTGGCTACTTCAGTATATATGGGACTAAATCATAGCGCAAGTTAGACATTATTGTGATGTTCCGGACCTTTGCATGAGGAAATTCTCTCTAACTGGACCTCGCTGAATTTTACTTAAACAACCCTGGTCTAGGTGATTAATGAATCAAAAGGGAATAAGCTAATTAATATAAGATTCTCCCCTTCCTCTCATCCATGACTACCTTTTGTTGAAAGAGCATAGACGCAGAGTTTGACGTTAGATGCATTCATTTTTTGCAACGCAGAAAATCTGACAATTAGGAACAAGTTCTCAATTCCCATTTCTATTCGGAACATAAGGTCACAGAACTCAGACAGCACTTTGTTATATTGTGTCTTTATGTTGTGACTGAAAAGATTATCAATTTGACATACTTGTTTTCCACATATTTGTATGGTTTTGCATGAGGCATGTTCCTCTTTTTGCTTCCAAGAATTTGAAAATGGATCACAAACACGTACGCGTAAAGGTATCTGCTTGGCTACATTTGGAGTTATGTTGAGATTCAAAAAAAATTATTAAAAAAAGACAAAATATAAATATAAACCTCTGTCATGATAAAAACAAATGCAGATAAATAGTCCCAGGGACTTACACACTCGCACATATTTCAGGTTAAAGTATGTAATTGAGCAAATGTAATTATTATTCCAATAATGGAATTTCAGCCAAAAATGAAAGCTTTGGCTCCCTCCTTATCCACACTTTGTTTGTTTTACACAATCATACAGAGCTTGTTGATGCAAATAGTAAACTGTTGTGAACAAGCTTTAGTTTGAGTCTTGTAGTCCTGGTGGCAGAGACCAACCAGCCTCTCCTGCGTACCGGCTGTGCCTCACATCAGCAGCAGAGGGAGGTGGAGAGGAGCAATGATGATGTCACAGGACTGTTAGCCAGTTGTCTTACGCATTAAAAATCGAAATGTTTACCTTAAAAGCAGTTGTTTGATTCTCAGATTTTGAATTATGATGTGAAAATATGTTGTCTCTGCCATTTCTCCTTAACTGTAGCCTAGTGAGAAAGTTGCCAAGTTGGCAACACTGTGTGCGTGTGAATGTGTGTGTGCGTGTGTGAATGTCCGTATCCCAGACACACACATTGTGTGGGATATTCCAGACACAATGTTGCAAGATAGTTGAATACTAAAGAAACAATTGGATAAAGCACATCAAATAACAACAATAATGATAATAATAAATCGCAACCAAGAGAATATGTATGATAATATATATGATTATAACAATAATAATAGCGATTACGTATCACTGGATGGGCAACCCTGGGCCCATGGGTTCGCCCGTAATTCCAGGTCTGCTAATCAGCTACAATAAACACATAATAAATGATTGGCCCTGAAATTCCATATTGGTGCATTGCTAAAAAGTTACCCTTTTGATTCCATGTCACACTTGAGCGTTTTTAATCAACACAAGACCGACCTTCACCCGGCTGACTGTCTTGTGCCTTCGAAGAATGTTCGTATCTACCACATCTTGCAATACATAATGAACCTGGCACATCAGACAGGGCCAAAACCAAATGTATTAACAATCACGAACAGAGTGGTTACTGTAGTTTTACGATTTATTTTTGTCGTCTTCTGTACTTTATACCTCTGTTTCACTATGGAATCATTATTGAAAAGTATTTCAGGAAATGTGTCACCTAATGTCACAATTGCACTTGTTATAAGCACTATTTATAATCTCAAAAAATGCCATTGTCATGAGGTATTCATCCTCGTGACTCTTTTAATGACTACATTTGACTTTTAGCCTTGGTGATTTCAGAGATATCACTAATAATGAGTTACTGTAGTGAGGAATGCTGTGATTTACACTTTTATTTTCTCTGAAATAGATCATCTTAAAGGCATGACTGTTCAGGCACACGTCAGGTTCAGCTTGCTGACTCTCACAATGCTGCCAATACATTTTTCATGTCTGGAAATGCATGGGTATTTTATTGCCATTTTGTTTATTTAGAGGCACCCCTGTTGGCAGATCATTTAAAGAATGAATTAAAAGCATCACTGCTTGCTAATTGTAAAAATAATAGCTTGACAATTGTTAAAGGGACAATTTGCCACCTTTTTATATGGATATCCAAACAGTGCTGATGGTAAATGTAGTCCACTCAAGAAATAAATTCCTCAGTGCATACTACATGCCATTTCGACTTTTCATCTAATAAATATACAAAATAGACTCTCAAAATGTCGATAAAGGAAATATTCTTACTCTCAATGTTCGGTGAAATATTCTTACTCTGTATTTTTCGTTTTAATGTTACTTAATTCCAGTCAGGTATTCTAGCCTTTAGCGACCTTTTAGATTTCGCAGCTGCGCCCCAGAGACACAGAGAAACTCAGCAACAAACATGCAGGCGTTTTTCACACTTTACCTAACTCAGACAGAGAAAGATAAGGTCGAAAATCTGCAAATTTGTTCTTGAAAAACGAATAAAAACATCAATTTTGTGCAGTGACAGTATAGTTATAGGTTTGTATGACAAAATATATTGGTTGTCTATCTCAGTGGTTCCCAACCATTTTGTCTTGTGACATCCTGAAACATAGCAAAGTCCTTGTGTGACACCTGGTCTTCAGTTCAGATTACAAAAAAATGCAGTGTTTTATTTTTAGAAGTTTTCAAGAGGTGGAACAATTGAGTAATTCATGAGAAAAATAGACTGCATTTTAACTTCAAAAAACTTTTATTACAATCATACATACAGGTTCCAACCTCTGCAATTCTAAGCATTTAGGAGCTGCTGTAAAGCTCCTGGGGAGCAACTTGGACTTCAGTGTCTCGCTCAAGGACATTTCGACATGCAGACAGGAGGACAACCAACAAGTTGTTTAGATATAGAGATATTTCAGTCTTCTTTGTTGGGCAGAAAACACCTTTTACAGTGTAACAGATTCCACTCTTCACAGCAATGTACTGTAGCACTTCATTTTCTACAGTTGTTCCTTGCAGATTTGCATAAGGGAGAATTTATAACATCAAATCATATTTTCATTGAGATTCAAGTCTCTTTCTGTTAGGGCTACTACTGGTTTGACGTTTTCACACAGGGAAGTGGTGCTGTTCGCATGCAAATGGATCAAACCATCAACCTATCATAATTTGCGGCGGTTGTTGTTGCTTATTTCGAAGGTTATGTAACCACACAATCAAATAGGAGGGGTGATATGAAGGAATGATGTGTTTGATAAATCCGTAGCCTGCTGTTTCACTGTGTTTACCGTCGTTATTTTGCCTGAAAACAATACCAGCTGCTACAGTATGACAATGAAGAACTCTACACGCATCAGGCCGGTCGGTTATATCTCTGCTTTTTGTGTGACAGAGACGTTCGGTTGTCACGGACCATCTTAGTCTCTTCCCTAACTGTCTTTTTAGCAAAAGTAGCATCTCATGTTTTATCCTTGAAACGCATTGCAATGCAAACGCTGTTGTGTAACATTAACTACTAAACTATGTTACCATGTACAAGGGGAAATATATTAGAATTATTGCTAAAATAGTGTTGGTCTGACAGAATTTATACCTGATGGAAAATCGTACTCCATCTGTCTTCGTGTGCAGATTTATGGTGTGTTCACGTCTCCATCTAGACATGAGGTAAGACTTTCCTTGCTGAGCTGCCGTTACCACGTTTATGTTTGATTGGCTCAGCTGTTACAGAGCTCTGAGATCAGTGACGTGACTGGCCGATAACGTTTTTAGGTGCAGTGCATCAATGGAGAAGAAAAGTGAGAGGATAGATGCCACCTAAACGTATTAATAGCTGTTTTCAGACTGTGTGCTAAAACACACAAGAAGCCTGATTACCCTTTACAAAAATTGACTACATGTTTACGATCAGGTAGACAAACTCATTGTAATAATTAAGATCGGTGTATATCATGAGAGTGGCAGTAGAATGCGCCAACCTGATGCTTAATGCAACTTTAAATAGTTATGTATATTGATATTACTGTGTGTTATTCATTTTTTTGCTGAGTGTCACAATGCTGCCATGACTAATGATGCATTGGTAAATGTTTAATGCATGAAAATGTGAAGGTAAGATATTTAAAGGCATTTTAGAAATGACAGCAGAACCTGCACAGAAGCAGGAACCAGGAGTAGATCCCCTCGATGAACTCAAAACAGCCAAGTAATGGATTGATGCTCACTTTCTGTTTTATTACTTGTGACTGTCACCAGACACCCTCATGGGGGCTTTTATACTGATAAGACCAGACCAAGGACACTTTATTGAAACTTTCACACCCAGTTTAATTCTTTCAGGATTGTAGCTTTAATCATTGACCAATAACTCAAAAATATATGCATGTATACTGTAAAGCATGTTATATATTTAAATATATTGGTAAAATATTTGTATAAAGTACTGTATATTGTAAATATGTTTGCTAATTGATTGTGTTGCAAATGTATTAAAATCTAAATAAAGTGCATATGTATAAAGTAACTCTAGCTGTCTGATAATTAGAACATTTTCCTGCATATTATAATAAACTGAACTTATTTATTACCTTATACTAAACTTTACAAGCATGGCACAACTTTGTAGATCCAAAACATGATACAAAATCTATCCTCTGTGGTAAATTCACAAGCTACTGTGTGATATCCACATTAAAGCATCAATAATTATAATTCAACAATATGATATTCATTATTCTGAAACGGACCATTCTTTTACTTTTGTTATGTTTAAGTATATATTGATGCTAAAGCTATTTTAAGTCAAAGTAAAAGATGTGTATACTTCTTTACAAACCCTTTCCAGAAAAATAACTTGCTTCATCTATTCCGTGTCTATTAGGGTGTATAATGTTCAGCACACTATAAAATAGTATTGCTTTTTGAGACGACATAGCCACTAACAGATCTTGTAATTGCTTTTAGTTTTTCTAAAGACGTAGCAGTCTTCAAAATGCGTGAGTCTTTTGTAATAATTAACTTTAATTGTCTGTGTTTTCAGATGCAGTGACTTCAGGATTCATGTGTGTTCAGCCAAGGTAGGAATGTAATGTTACGATCAATTCACAATAAGCACACCGCCATGTTAGCTTGCTAAACACTGAGTTTGAATTTCAAATGCCAGTAGAAAAATGTAGCAAACCCAAACTAACTCAATTATCCAGTGCATCAGACGGTTTACAAGAGAGAGATTTCACTGTTGAAGATGGTCTTTGTGAACGCCACCTTCACGTAGTGCAAACAACAGTTTATCGTTGAAAACATGTTTGTTATGTTTGCAGAAACAACTGCTTTCCATCAACTTTTATGTAAATATGTTTATTTCAGACATGATTTTATATATATATATATATATATATATACACTGCTCAAAAAAATAAAGGGAACACTTAAACAACACAATGTAACTCCAAGTCAATCACACTTCTGTGAAATCAAACTGCCCACTTAGGAAGCAACACTGACAATCAATTTCACATGCTGTTGTGCAAATGGAATAGACAACAGGTGGAAATTATAGGCAATTAGCAAGACAGACACCCCAATAAAGGAGTGGTTCTGCAGGTGGTGACCACAGACCACTTCTCAGTTCCTATGCTTTCTGGCTGAAGTTTTGGTCACTTTTGAATGCTGGCGGTGCTTTCACTCTAGTGGTAGCATGAGACGGAGTCTACAACCCACACAAGTGACTCAGGTAGTGCAGCTCATCCAGGATGGCACATCAATGCGAGCTGTGGCAGGAAGGTTTGCGGTGTCTGTCAGCGTAGTGTCCAGAGCATGGAGGCGCTACCAGGAGACAGGCCAGTACATCAGGAGACGTGGAGGAGGCCGTAGGAGGGCAACAACCCAGCAGCAGGACCGCTACCTCCACCTTTGTGCAAGGAGGAACAGCAGGAGCACTGCCAGAGCCCTGCAAAATGACCTCCAGCAGGCCACAAATGTGCATGTGTCTGCTCAAATGGTCAGAAACAGACTCCATGCGGGTGGTATGAGGGCCCGACGTCCACAGGTGGGGGTTGTGCTTACAGCCCAACACCGGGCAGGACGTTTGGCATTTGCCAGAGAACACCAAGATTGGCAACTTCACCACTGGCGCCCTGTGCTCTTCACAGATGAAAGCAGGTTCACACTGAGCACATGTGACAGACGTGACAGATTCTGGAGACGCCGTGGAGAACGTTCTGCTGCCTGCAACATCCTCCAGCATGACCGGTTTGGCGGTGGGTCAGTAATGGTGTGCGGTGGCATTTCTTTGGAGGGCTGCACAGCCCTCCATGTGCTCGCCAGAGGTAGCCTGACTGCCATTAGGTACCGAGATGAGATCCTCAGAACCCTTGTGAGAAAATATGCCGGTGCGGTTGGCCCTGGGTTCCTCCTAATGCAAGACAATGCTAGACCTCATGTGGCTGGAGTGTGTCAGCAGTTCCTGCAAGATGAAGGCATTGATGCTATGGACTGGCCCGCCCGTTCCCCAGACCTGAATCCAATTGAGCACATCTGGGACATCATGTCTCGCTCCATCCACCAACGCCACGTTGCACCACAGACTGTCCAGGAGTTGGCGGATGCTTTAGTCCAGGTCTGGGAGGAGATCCCTCAGGAGGCCATCCGCCACCTCATCAGGAGCATGCCCAGGCGTTGTAGGGAGGTCATACAGGCACGTGGAGGCCACACACACTACTGAGCCTCATTTGGACTTGTTTTAAGGACATTACATTACAAGTTGGATCAGCCTGTAGTGTGTTTTTCCACTTCAATTTTGAGTGTGACTCCAAATCCAGACCTCCATGGGTTAATAAATTTCATTTTCATTGATAATTTTTGTGTGATTTTGTTGTCAGCACATTCAACTATGTAAAGAACAAAGTATTTAATAAGACTATTTCATTCATTCAGATCTAGGATGTGTTGCTTAAGTGTTCCCTTTATTTTTTTGAGCAGTGTGTGTATATATATATATATATATATATATATATATATATTCATATGAACATTAAATGCACAGACTGAAGGTGGAGAGGTTCACAGATCAGTTAGCCAAGGCAGGACAGAAAGAGCAGACGGCACCACACACCGGCTGTGTCGTCGTGTCATGTGACGTCTAAAGTAGACACCGGACTTCAGACGGTAGTCAGGCAGAGTAGCGAGGATGCCTAACTAGGGAGCCTATAGGATACATTTTCTACAGCAGCGACATTTTACTTTAAGATTTACTACAAGTCATGTATTGTGATGTCAGTGTGTGGGCTTGCATGGAAGATTATGGTTGAATTATGTTTTTTTTTTTTATGTGCATCATATCCTACCGGTGTGTGTTGCTCTTAACAGTACAAATATTAGTGGAGTGCAAATAATTAATGCAATGGTCTCATCTCCTGTAACAGAAAAAAGACAAGCGTTGGAGACCTCATTTAGATATGCTAGGAGCTCTTATTAGTCAAGTATATTATATAACCATTAACGACTTTTATGGAAAAATAATATTCTCATATTAACAATACTTATAAAATGCAGGACATACGGCAATATATAAATACATGTATGTTTTAGTCAATTCCAGTGGAGCTTTTCACAGCTCGGATCCAGTTCTGTTGCTGGTCTGTCGGTCTGCATTAGCGGCCATGGTTCTTTCAGTCTGAAGGCCAGGACTTGTGGGAGCTGGTGGGGCTCCTTGGCTGGGCGTTCGGACTCCCCTGAAAGACATCAAACACATAAAATAACTCATTATTCTGCAAGGGATTATATTTTTTGAATTGTTCGAAGGGTTCAGAGCATTAAATATTGATGGAAAGGCTCCTTCATTGTTGACTTTTATTGGTTTAATATTTTTTTTATAACTTCAATTGTATTTAAATTTTTTGTTTTTGTTATAAAGTAATCATTGAATTATTCAGAAAACACAATCCACGGGAGCTTGATAGCACCTATAGGGGGCAGCAGTGCCCCTTCAGTCAGTGCTGCCCACACCCATAAAGCCTGGAGTGCTGCCGAGGAACTGACCTGACCCACTTTAAATCAAACAGACATTGCTCACGATACTGTTATGTTGTGAGTGTGACCTGCACAGACTGCTTACATTTTCCCAGCAGATTACAAGCGGGTGGCTTTTTAACCTTTCAGCTTGTGAAACCAAAGAATTAAACTGCCAGCTAAACAGTTCACTCTTGACTCGACATTAAAAACCAAAGGGGACTTTGCATATTGCTTAAATAACGGCCATACGTGATCTCTACATAACGCTGTAACATTATTTAGTTTTTTTAGTTCCGTTACCCGTGTCTTTTTACAAGTGTGACTACCCCATCTCTGCAGAGGAGGAGTCTGCAGAGGAGGAGGCGTGTGGGAAGGAGGACTCACCACAGGAAGGGTCTTAGCATAGTTCATATGGGCGTAGAGCAGCACAGCTGTGTCGTTGTGAGACGCCTCCAGTGCGATGGACAGAGCACTGCTGCCATCCTACAGACGGAAGAGAGAGAGGGAGAAACAGATGTAGCAGAGAGAGAGTAAAAGTGAGTTTATTGACCCTTAAAACATGAGAGAATAGAAAACGTAACCGTTTGAGATTGACCCTGTGATCCACATTTCACACGGTTGTTCCTTTTTCAAGACTTCTCCGTCTTGATGAGTCGCATCACTCTTGTGATGGATGTTGGGGCTCATTCATTCCCCTCAGTAAAGTCAAGATTGGCCTGTAAACAACCCCAACATCCATTCATCCTGCATCCTCAGCATTTCGTTGATGTAATGGAAGGGAGACTCACCCTAACTAACCCATCCAGCATGTTCTAGCTAACGAGCTGTTGTGGTAGAACTCTCACACTTTGGCATTCATGTTCCACACATCAAACACATAGACCTATTTAGACAGTATTAAGCCAACAGAAATCATTTAATTTATATAATACTGAACCAAAAGTTGTATACCCTTACACCTCTAGTTAGAGGAATGCATAAAATTAAAATCTTTGTACATCTAACTCCACTGTTCCTTACAGTCATGGTTTGTCATGCTGTTTTTGTGTTTTCAGTACAGCGGCGATGGGGGCTTTCCCAAATGTTTTCCATGCCCCAATCCAGCTGTGCTGCACTGAAACACAATCCAGGAGCTGCCTGCGCTGAATGGTCAACTCATTCATGGCACAGATGTGAATGCTCAAATATCAGTCTGCCTGGCCTCTCTTCAAGCATTCAGACCGGTCCTCTGTGAAATCACTTTTGAACACACGGCTGTGCAGATTAACACAAAATGAAGCGAGAAATGTCACAAGCAGCTATGACAAGAGCTTCGGTTCAGGGTAAGATTTCGGCTGTTTGAGAAAAGGGAATGTTCCCACTGACACACTGATGCACTTACTCTACAACTATTTGGTACATTTGGTGAGTAATTTAAGTCAATTAGTTGACAAAATGATAAATCTTGCAAAGTCTGGATCCTTCAGAGTTTAAAAGTAATCATTTAGGATTTTTAAGATTTTTTTTAGGATATTAACAGTGGCTGCTGACATGTGGGTCATGTGATGAAGTATACAGACGAATCGTGTAAGAGCCTGCAGGGCATTGTGTCTGAAATCTGCAAATCTGCAGTTGTGAATAGAGGAGTTGTGGGTTTTTAATTCATCCCTTGGGGCTTGTGAGTGGCCCATTGACTGTTTCCTGTATACAGCACTGCTTTAAGCCAAAGGAAGCTGAAATTAATCTGATCGTGTCTCTTTAGCTCTCAGCCGATCTTGTTAATGAAGATAAACGCATAAGAAAAGAGGCAGAAAAAGATGCAACAAGGAAACTGCAGAGACCAATTTCCCACGAGGAGCCGTTTCCTGAGCACAGATTAAGCTGAATCCCAGACCAGAACGTGCTCAGATGGTTTCAGCAGACAACTGTTGGCCTCCTCTGTAAGCTCAGTGTAGGTTACTGAAAGGTGTCCTCAATGTGTGCATCAGCTAAATGTAAATGCCTTACATTATCAACAATGGATATGTCGCAACCAGGCTGTTCCAGGAGCAGTTTGACAATCTCAGCACGGCCATGTTCGCTGGCACACATCAGAGCTGTGGATCCCTCGTCGTCCTGCACGTTAACGTCGGCGCCACACTCCAGCAGCGCCCGCACCATCTCCTGCCGACCATGGCTAACAGCTAGCATCAGCGCTGTCTGGCCCGCCTGCAAAAGGTAAAGAATGCAATTTCTTCTTAAGAGAATACCGTATTCTAGAGCTTGTCTTATTGCATAGCCTATTTTTTAAGTGATGACAAAATTACACCATTTACAGCTTGAAAAATATTGCAAAAAAACTAAAAACAACACTGACTTACTGATACCAATCATCCATTATGGTGATTTTATGTAAGGGCAACCTTGGCCGAAGTCGTTTTATACAACAGGGCACAGATTCTAAAATTGCATTGCATGCCTTGTGTTCTGTTCCCCACAGCAACAATAACAAGCGCCAGTAATTAAATTTATAGCATCACTGGATATAAATCCAGAGTCCTATGACTTGGCAATGTGAGAGCTTGTCAGGCGCTGTGTTCAAAACACAAACAACACACAACCTGATTAGATCGAGTAAAGAGATAAAACCACTTAAAAGGCAACAGATTCTCACAAATGTGTCACGACACATTTCTCTAACGCAATCTAACCTGCAACCAATTACTCATCTGGCTCTGAATAAAGAACTTCCTTACCACACAGGACAGACTCTTTTAACACTTCCCCCATTGACGTAAACAGGGAACAAAGACGGCTTTTGTCCCCAGAACACAGTTGTTGTTTTTTTACCTTCACTCAAACTAGCAAGTGGGAATCAAGTAGATATTCGTTCAAAACCTGGTTTCTGTTTTGCCTTATCTAAAAAAAGATTAAGTCACATTGAGCTTCGTTGACACACTGTAAACCAGTGGGGAAAAAGCAAAGTTTAGATTCAACAAAGGAATTCTGTAAAAACTCAACTCCATCCAATGTAATGCTAGTAACAGCAAATCAGTGACTCATTCACCTCACTTACACTCGTTCTTATTTGGCTGTAATGTGTAGACTCAATCCGATGTTTGGTTTTATAATGAATGTTTTCACATGAACGGTTTAAATAGGTTCAACTTCAACAACGCCAGCTGAGTCGGGATTGAGTCTTAAGTGATGAAATGCTTCAGGCTGTTGGAGCTGACTACAGACTCGCAGTAAGTCTCTGGGTTCTTGTTTTTGCTCACACGTTTGTCACTCACACTTCTCAGGTGATACCTTTTTAAGTACAAAACTATCTTTAAAAACGATGTTGTGCCACAAGTCTTTCAGCTGTTAAAAGTGAACACGCATATTCAAGAGAGGAATGACTTCAGTAAAATGACTGAGGGAACATTGAAGGAGGAGGAACAGAAAGTGGCTACAAGCAGCACTTTGTGTGTGTGTGTGTGTGTGTTGTGTTCCCCGCTGAACTGTGATGAACTGATGATGACTTGCCTGGCTGGCCTTGGCGTTGACATTGCCCTGACTGAAGAGCCTCTTGACCACAGCCATGTCCTCCTCCTCCTTCACAGTAGAGAGAGCAGCCAGCATGATGGCCGTGTACCCCGCCTTGTTCTGCTTATCCACACAGCACATACCTGCAGGGAGCACATGCTTTTATTACTGCGCATTTAGGCATACATGTAAGTGCACATAGCTATACAGAACACATCGCTACTTACATATAAATGCACACATATTTACACTAAGATGCCAGTTAACTAGGGAGGTACAGCTAGCTCAAACTAATGCAGTATAACACGACAGTCTGCTCTGTTCCAGAAGGTATTATATGTTACAATCTGTTTCACATGGTTTTATATGGCTTATTTAAATGTTAGCTTCTCCAACAGTACACAACACACTACCAGAAAGACTTTTTAGCTAGTTTTTAATCTGTCGTTAACAATATTTAAAGTCTTGAGCAGAGAAATGTCACCGTTTATACATCTGGTAAAAATAAAAAAAGACCACTGATGGGCACCCGTCCCATCTTTCCACTAACTCGCAGACCTGGGGTCTGTCGTTGGACCTCTCTCTAATAATTGGTCGGATTATTGACTGGATAAGACCTTCTATCGCGTAGAGTGGATTCGTTTCAGAAGGTCCCTGACCTGTGTCCAGCAGCAGCCCTACCACGCCGAAGTTTGAGTGGGAGACGCTGTAGTGGAGAGCTGTGTTGCCGTTGCCGTCGGTCATGTTGACTACATGCTCCAGTAGCGCTGACGACACCTCAGAGAACGCCATCAGATAGTCCGACACGCGGGGAGATTGAGCCGTCTTGGCGCTGGAGACACGGAACCACTCCAGCTGGACGGTGTGGGTGCTGGAGAGCTGAAGGCGACAGGGGGAAGTAATATATTATCTATAAGTATACATTACACACATACACAGCATCTGTAGGTGGAAAGTAATGAAGCTGTATTTTACTCAGTGCTTGAAATTACCTAAATACATTTAGTCAAGCAGTGTACTAAAGTACAAATTTGAAGTACTTGTACTTGATTATTTTCATTTAATCTGACGTCATCACATTTCAGAGGCAAAAATTGAACCGTTTTACTCATTTATTAGATTACTTTAGTTATTGTTTTCATATTGAGATTAATATTACAAAGTATAAATCAAATCAAACTGACGTTTTATTATCGGTTAAGATCATACTGATCTTTTATATACTGCTACTACCCGGCAGTATATAAAGTTGTTAAATTAGCTCCACCTTTACTGTGTCAGTGATGATCGCATTAATGCATCAATAATTATAATCCAATAATATATATTAATCTGAAATTGGCTACTACATTATGAGTACTTTTGGTACTTAAAGTACACTTTGAAGCTAATACTTTTGTACTTTTACTCTAGTAAAAACTTTGAGTACATGACTAACAGAGTATTTTTACACTGTGGTATTGCTTCTTTTACATTAGTAAAAGATTTAAATACTTCTTCCACCACTACCGCTTGTTTCTCACACACCTTTTCTCATGATCTGGTGAAATTAAAAACAATTGTGTGAACGGTGTATTTTGGCAAAGTCAACGTTTATAGAAGCCTGACATTCCACAGATGTAAAGGGAAGCCGTGGTTCATGTTGAGTTAAACTCAATCATGAACGATGTTACTCAACATGAACCAGATCATGAGCCCTTTCTCATTTTACACACTTTTTATTGTTAAATAAAGCATATATTGTTCATAATAAATGTTTGCTAGTGCCAAATATATACCTTTGCAATACAGCTTTCATCAACTTTAACTAATTACGATTTTGCGTAATTCCAACAATGAAGTGAAGTTAAATGTGTAACTCGGTGATAAATGGTTTGAAGAAGCATGCAGGGACGCACCACTTCCTTACTCTTCAGTGTCTTGATGTCATCGTTCAGGTGGTTCTTCAGAATGAGGCACGCTTCACGCATTTTTGAGCTCAGCTCAAATCTGCAACAAACACAAAAATGAATTTAAAACATTTAAAATTGACATAGTTTATCTTTCCCTGCATTACACATGTATGTGTGTTTCAATGAGGAGACTTGCTCTTTGTCATCCAACATGATTTGGTAGCATTCGCATTTACAGCACTACGCTTTTTAATCAGGAGCTCTGAAACTGAATTCATGGCTTCGTATTATTCCGTACTTTCAGTCACAACATACTTCTCTTTCACAGCTTCACATGAATAACTTGTGGCTCTCAGGGTTTCCTCATCAGTGTCGCTCTCGTCCAGGTTGATGTTTCTTTCCTCCTCTGATGTTTCGTCCTCCAGAGCCGCCTCATCCTCTGTGCTGTCCAAGCACTCGCCTTCTCCACTTTCTCCAGAAGAACTCCCATCTTCCTCCTCCTCTTCTTCCTCCTCTTCTTCTTCTTCTTCACTGGATGTAGATTCATACCTGGGAGACACAAATATTTGCTGGAATACAGAGCAACTTATGCAGTTCACGTTTAAGGCACTTTGATGGCGCTTTTTTGGAAAACAACACTGCGGTTGGCGAGTAAAAAGGCTTTTGTGTCTTGTACTTGTGATTTGGACAAAGTGTTATTTACAACCTAGTCTAGACCATCTGTCACTCTTATTTTATTTTTACTGTGGTAAAAAATAAAATACGGTTTCATGTTACCCACCCTCCATTCAGAATGCCAACAAACTGCAGGCTCTTCTTCTTCTCGCCTGAGTTACTCCCGTCCTTCCTCTTCATGATTGATTTCAGCATACCTGTTACCATAAAGGAAGCCGATGGATCAAATAAAGAGAAACACATAATCAGATCGTTTGGTTTACATCATGAGTTATAAGTCCATCGCTGGAGGATTGAGCCATCTCTTTAGAATACCTCATTTCTGTCTTTCTAGTGGTACAATTTGCCTTTTTTGTTTTTATAATTTCAGTAAATATGTGTGGGCAATGCTTTATTTTCTGCAATTTCTGAATAGTTCATTTCAGGGAAAGAAGAATGTAATTTGCAACTTTATATTGGGGGAAAAAATAGATATTTTCTTTTTAATTGGTAGACTTAAATAATCACCTAGTGAGTCTTTTAGCCAGTGCACAAGAAATCAGGTTGTTGTGCAAGAAATGTGAGCTTGCCCACATGCAGCCAAACAGCCAATTCAGCGTACACGTGTCCACTTAAAACAATAACTTATAAAAGGACTTGGTTTTAAATGAGTTATTTTAAGCCCATTCCTATTTCCCTTTAAATTAGTACCAGATTACATAGTCTGTAGTTTTACTCAGTTAGACGTTTCAGGGAACTTATTTGATATTATGAAATCTCTCCATTATGCTCTACTTGTTATGAATATTAAATGATGTTCTCTGGGATGCACTTACTAATGATGTGTTACATTTTTGCACCAATGTTATAAAGACAAAGAATTCTGCATTTGATGCATTTTGATTTGATGTCCTCACCCAAATGAACTTCGACCCTACGATGAAGCTAAATACCTTGAAGTTCTCACCTGTCTTGGTGTTGCTGGCTGCAGACTTCTCTCCTTGGTCTTCCTCTTTATTCTCAGCCATACTGACCACCTCCTCTTCTGGCGAGACCTTGTATTCAGCGATGGTCATCTGTCTCTTCTTCAGAACGGTAACTTTTTGCTCCATCTTTTCCTCAAACAAGTTCTCACATTGGCACCCAGTGCTGACCACTGCAACAGGTGCTGGCTCAGCTGTTATCGCTACAGCGTCGGTCTGGGTGAATTGCTCGATCTTATCTGCTGTTAAGTTCTCCCCTACACATGCATCGTTCACCTCAGGACGGCACGAAACCGCAACATGTTTTAATGCAGCAGTGAATGTCTCTACCTGGGCATTCACCATGTCTGGTTTGGCAAGAACCCCCTTCTCAAATGTGACTTTAGAGGTTTTCTCCTCCATCTGGACTTTAAGGATCCCCATGTCTTTGTCGGCCACATTCAATCGCTCCTCTAGAGCCACAATGGACTCTTGCTGGAATTTAATGGTGTCCTGTAAGGTATCAATCTCCCGCTGTGCTTCGCTGGTCAGCCCAAGTAGTGACTCCATAACCCAAACTTCAGCCTCTTTTGTCTCCACTCTGACCTGTACTCCTGCCTCTTGAACCACAGGGGCCTCTATTCCTGTGCCTTTATCACAAACATTTACCTCGGTGCCCTCAGAAGCATCCTTCACACCCTGGCTGTAGTAGAAAACAACAGAGTCCATTGGCAAGTCACCCCCAACAGCCACTGATTTCTTCTCAACAGACACTTTTTCTGGAGCTTTTACTGAAACTTTTGATGAAGGTTCTGTAGCTTTCCCTTCCTTCCCCTCAAATTTTTCAGTCAGCCTTTTCAGCTCACCAGATTTTCCGAGGCTTTTATGTCCAGGTGAGATTGGTGTACTCAAACGATTGTGGATACTGTGGTCAGTTTGAAGAATCTCTGTGGTTTGGGTAAAAGAGTCAGTGGACTGTTGCTTCTGCTGAGCCACCTCCTTGGCCTCTTTCTTCTCCTGCAGGGCTAACAGGAGCGTGTCTTTCTCTGCACGAAGCTTGGCCACCTCTTTCTCAAGCGCAGGAACACCCTTTACCCTCTCTTCCATCTCCTTCAGCTGTTTCAAGGCCGTAGCCATCTGCTCTCTAACCGTCTGCAGCTGGCTGGGTGGGATCGGAGTCATTGTGGTGCCAACTGCTGGAGTGCTGCGCCCAGAGGTCTGAGGACTGGGTTTAGTCCAGCTACTCTGCAGCGGCTGAGTGGATGGCGAGGGTAGGAGCTTTTTTGGAGGATCTGCGAGCTGGAAGCGCCCACCATTCTGGTACTGGTGGGTTTGTTCCTGTTGTAGCCGCCGGCTGGTTTCAAGAAGAGTCCGCTCCACTCTGGGGTTGCGCTGCGGTGGAGGAGGTGGCACTTTGGCTCCGGCAGACAGGGGAGGAACACTGATGAGGGTCACAGGGGAAAGACGGAGCCCCTCACAGGGTGCCGACCCAAGGCGGTTGCGTGGTGGCGGCGGCGGAGGAGCTCTGCCATCCTCACTGGCCGGGGACGACAGAGACTCTGTGGATGTCCAGCCACTGGTACGTCCTCCAATACTCCTCTGGGAGAGTTTGACACCTCGGCCAGTGCGGCGGGAACCAACGGGTGCCCGACGGAGATTGTGCCCACTTTCTATCTCTTCTACATATTTGAGGAAGTCCAGATCCAGCTGGAAACCATACGGAGTCTGGACAGAGTAGGAGCCTGATTGGTCAGCCTCCTCCTGACTGGAGTAGATGAATGGAGAGCCCAGATCTGAAAGAACAGAACATGTGACCAAACAATATGGCTACTATCCCTGTTACCTAAATATGGCCTGTGGAGCACACAAAAGTTATGTTTACATTTCGTGTTTTTCAGGCATTGGGGCGATCCTTGAGGTCTAACAAATGCGTTAAATGTATTTCCAGTCTACTGGCTTGGAGATAATAGTGTTCGTGTCAACCAACTGAATGACAATGTGTCTGACCTGTTGTTTTTACAATGTAAGCTAAATAAATACACATCAAACTATTTCAAATATATTTTGTTTCCTGCGGTTAAACAGCATTGTTAATGTGGTAAACTCCACAAACAGGCTACTGGCAGGTTAAAACAAGTCCATTTGATTTATTATAACAATACAGTTAACCTCATCTCAAAGAGAAGTCTAGATATGTTCACAGTCACAAAAGAAATTGGGATATGAGGTTTAAATACAAAAAAAAAACAGTTTCTTACCAGGCAGTTTTGGGTTAACTTGCACCGACTGAGTCATGTTTCAGGACTGGGACCTTTCAGCACACACAGCTTCAAATAAACACCTGGCTAAAGAGAACACAGTGACATTATTATAATAATAATAATAATAATAATGCATCCCATTTATATAGCTAAAGTTTCAGTGTGTAGAAACTTCTGGCAGTCAGGGGAAACACTAGCTCAACACTATTCACAAACCACACGACAGCTGCCACATTAACGACAGCATCGCACCATCCAACTCCACTGAGAGACCACAGGATTCCTGTCACCACAAGACTGCTGAAACCTGACGTACATACATACCGTTTCCTTTGGGAATAATGTGTGTGCATTTAGACACAAAGAAACTAAGGCGACTGACCAACTTGTAAAACATCATCAACAAAGCTAAACACAAACGTTATAAGAATTCCCCAACATTAAAAAGACAACTTTTAAGTTGATGCATAAACTTATTTTTCTGATATTCATCATCTTTAAGTTCAAAAAGTCTCAATAGAATAAACAAAGGTTTAAAGCTTGTCTTCGTTCAGTCATAATAACAATGTTCTTCTTGTGTTTGTTCCAAACAGACACTAAATATTCAAAAGCTTCCTGTGCTTCAGGAAAAAAGTAACAACAAGTGGGGAAAACCATTGAACTGAACATTTTCTGGATAACCGTACATCAAGTACAGAGAAAAGAAGGACAACATGAACTTAAACATGACAGATTTGAACTTCAAATGAATGCTGTTGTGTTGAAGAGAAGTTCACCTCTCAGCCCCTCAGTGAGTGATTCATACAGCTGCAGTTCAGGCTGGTTCCCTCTTTCCTGCTCCACTCAGCCCTGAGAGAGAGAGAGAGAGAGAGAGAGAGAGAGAGAGAGAGAGAGAGAG